TCTTTTTGGTATTTGTATATAAAATAATATGTCATAATAAATAATTTTAGTTGCTGAGGAAGTCTCAAATAGAGACGAAACGTTCAACGGATAAATATAGTGTTCATCTTAATTAAACCCGTCCAAAAAACAACTTCCCTAAGAGTAAACTTAGTAATAATATTTGTTACAAATATTCTGTTCCATTTTATTTTATTCTTGGAAATGATTTTACTTTTTTTCTTTTTTTTTCTTTTTATACAAGGAAAAAAAGGAAATAATAAATATTTCAATAGAATCTATCGAGAAAATAATCGTAAGATTTTTACTTATGCAAGGTATCCATGTCGATCATTACGTTTAGATGCGGATCGATGGCGTATAGGTAGACGTCGGTTCTGTAACAAAATTGCTCTACGTGCTGATTGGAAATCTCTCTCTCTCTCTCTTTCAAAGTAAAAGTGAAGACTTTAATACTTACGAAGTTGTGTCGATCAGGTTCTTTTCAATATGCGGCTCAAGCTTCCTGACACGTACGTCGAGGCCCGTGATATTGTGCAGAACGCTGAAATATGACACGTTAATTTCAATCGAAGGAAAACGGGAGCGAGGGGTTATGGGGAAGAAAAATACGAATCGGAAATTCGACGTGTGAATGAAAGGTCGCTTGAAAATGTCTCAATGTTTCTTATAGGAATTCCATTTAAAAAGAAACGAACGATTATTTTCAACTTACGCGGTCAAATTGTCCAAACGTGGTTCGACGTCTATGGGTTTTTCTTCGACGACCATGACCACTTGTTTTTTATCATCTAACACGTATACCTGTGCGAACGAAATGTAAAAAAAAAATGTTTGAAAAAGGCCAACGGACTGATATCTCGCAAGAAAACAACAAATTGGTCGTAAAAGAGACTGTAAGAATAAGAGTAAAAGAAAAAAAGGTAACTCACAAAAACGTTGGCAATGCCACTGCGACCATTCTCAGCTCCACGTCTATCCGTGGCCTTGACGTCGAAACCAAAGACGCGGCCAGAGTCACGAGTAAAACTGGCCACAGACCGAACTTGACCGCTCAATGGGTCAATGGCGAATCTTGGTGCATCTTCGCGTCCAAGAATTTGGTAACGAACCTCGCCGTTTATACCGTCGTCCGGATCCTCGGCCTAAACAAATATAAAAACAAATCTTATTCTTTCTGAATTTACATAATAATGTATTCCTTTAGAAAAAAAGATTTGCTGCATTCATGTTATGAACATTTGAACGGTCTTCAGATTTTCGGATAAAAAAGGAAAAAAAAAAGAAAAAGGTGTGCAAGGTTCTAAATAAAAAAGAAAAAATAAATGAAACAAGGTACCTACAAGAGGTCGACAATTTTTCCTAGTCCCCTATCTAATTAAAGATCTTTGAGGTAATTGTATTTGCATTATCGTTCGTGCGAAAGGCAATCGATTTCCGTGCAATTGCAGTTGTCGTGTTTGTCGAGAGTAACGCTATTCGTGAAAAGAAAAACTCTAAATAACGTGACAAAAAGAAAAGAGAGAGAGAAAGAGAGAGAGAGCAAATAAACTCGAATATACTCTGTGTATGTGAATTTTTTCCCAACCTACGACGTTCGGCCATCAAAGCGATGATAAACGATGAGAAAGATAGGAAAAAATATATGTAAAAAAAAAAACAACAAAAAAAATACGTAGAAGATGAAGAAATAATGAAGGAGGAGGATTTTCGGCGTTGTTTTCGGACCGATTGTTCGCGTCTCGTAATAATTAAAAAGCGTTCTGAAGGAGAGAAGATAAAAAAAAAAGAAATAAATTGGAGAAATAGAAAGGATGGATCGGGAGACACACAGACAGACAGATAGATAGATAGATAGATAAAGAATAAGAAAAGTCGGACGAAAGTAGGACAGGACAGGTCGGATAATAAAGAAAAATGTTAGAGTAAGTGGAATGAATGAAGGTTTGAGTGTCCCTTTGACAGGTGCAATTTACATAGTTAAGGCGGTAGGAAATGAAGAACGTGCAAATTCCTAATGATGCGTACGCTGACCTCAACTTTAACGACCTCGTAACCGTAGTGGGCAGTGGTAGGTATCGCAGCGAGGATGGGTCTTCCCTTTGACTTAAATCTCGGCGCATTGTCGTTGGTGTCCTTGATCCTGACGACGACCCTGGCCTCGTTAGGGGCGAGACCATTGAGCCTCTCACCGACGACCGGATAAATCATCACGGGCATCCCACGACCGAGCTTCACCCTGTCGACCCTGATCTTAGCCTCGTACCGATCTCTCATTTCCCTGTCGGTGTTCGTAATCAAATACAGCGAGCCGTTCTTCGAGTCTATCGAAAAGTGATCTCTCGCATCCGTGCCATCCGCAACGATGCTGTAACGTATGTGATCGCTTTGATAACCATCAGTTAAATCTAATTCAGCGATCCAAATTGGTGCTACTGTGTTTTCCTCGACCTCGACCTCGTAATATCGGTGCCTGAACGTTGGGATCTTTTGTACTTCGTTAAACAAATCATCCTGATCATCTTTTCCTATTTCGTCTTCGTCGTCCTCGTCGTCCACGTTAATGATCTCAACATTCACAACTGCGGTAGACGTCATGCTAATCGGTGAACCAAGATCACTCGCGGTAACGAGTAATCGATGATTCTTTATATTCTCGTAATCGAGATTTGAGATAGTCGTGATGGATCCTTCCTTACTGTCTATCGTGAAATATTGTTTCTCTTCGTGACCTGGACTTGCTAGATCGAAGAGAATCAAACCATTGCCATTTCCCGCGAAGTCGCTGTCGTTTGCGTAAACTTTCGCCACGAACGTACCGATCGGACTGTTCTCAAAAATGGAAGTGCGATAAACTGGTATTGGAATGCCGCGATCGTCATTCTCAAGCTCGCCGTAATCAAAGAAACTTGGGGCATTGTCGTTAACGTCCAAGATGTTAACTTCAACTTCTACGGTTGAACTCAACGAGGGTGAACCATCGTCGCGTGCAAGTAAAACTAAACGATTAACAGGTATCTTTTCTCTGTCGAGTTTTCCATTTATTCTTAAAATACCATCTCGTGGACCAACGTCAAAGATCCACGTAGAATTGTCCTTATCGTTATCCTCGTCTCGAGCACCAGAAATGATCTCGTAATTGACGTTAGCATTAATACCGAAATCACTATCGACAGCACGAACGGTTCCAATAGTGTGACCCATGTAACTGCCTTCAGCAACGTCGAAGGAATACCAGGATTGATCAAAGACAGGTGCATGATCGTTCACGTCCACCACGTGTATTCTTATAGTAATGTTATCGGAAAGGCCACCACCGTCTTTAGCAATGACAACCAAACGTACATTCCTCTCAGGTGGTAATGCACGAGCCACTGAAATTTCTGCGGTTCTTGAATCCAACAAGAAATATCTTCGACCTATCGAATCCTGTTTTGATTGAACAACGACAGTTGTCGAGATTCCTCCAGATATTGTCTCGTTCTGCAGACTGTAATTCATTTCTGCGTTAGATCCTACATCTTTGTCCTCTGCTAACAATCTAATGATCGGTGCACCAATTGTCACGTTTTCCGGTACCAAAAGTAACGGTGACTTGCGCTCGTTCTTTCGTTTCGTTTCATTGCTTTCGATGGATGCCGAATCTTCCGCGTGGCTTTTGTTCGCGATCGATTCTTCGTCCGGTTGGTTTGATACTTTAACACCTTGATCCGGTAGAACGATCATGCGAATAAATTTAGGAGAATTGTCGTTCGTATCGTCGACGATGATTTTAAAACGCGCGCTCGACATCATACCACCTAAAATCAAATGAAAAATTTACAATTAGTTGAACGCTGGATGGAACATTTATCAAATGAATGACGATTGTCTTCTCAAACGTTGATAACTTTTTTCTCTTTAAAGTCAATGATCAAGGGTAAGAAGAAAAAAGTATAAAAGTCCTTATTGAATAGAATGAATTTTAAAGACTTACCCCCATCCTCGGCTACTACTTGAAGATCATAGCTTTCTCTTTCCTCGCGATTTAAACTCTCTTGGTTACTACCCTCAAAGAATACTCGAGCATTTTTAGGATCAATCCTGAACAGGGAACTACCTTCTCCGGTCAGGCTGAAAATAAATTCTTGGTTAATACCCTCGTCTTTGTCGGAAGCTGCAATAGGATTGGCCATGATGACTTCCGTTCCGTCTCGACTGTTTTCTAGAATTCGTCCTTCGTAAGATGACGAACTAAACACCGGTGGATGATCGTTCTCATCATCGACGATTACTCTTATCTGAAATGTTATCCAAGATAATGTGCGTTCAATTATTGTAAACGTTTAAATGAACGATCATTAAATGAACGATCATTAAATGAACGATCATTATACATATTCGTAATTATCATTTCACGTTTAGATATTGTAATTGCATAACGAAAATGTGAGAGGAAGGAAATGATTAAATTTAAATAGCAAAATAATTAACGGGGAAGACAACGACTTACTTGAATAACTTGTAGTCCTTTAGAACCTTCCGCAATAACAGTGATACTATAATTTTGTCTAGTCTCACGATCTAAACCATTGGGCGCGTAAAGGGTACCGTCCTCCGTGATACTGATGTCAGGCACGTCCTGTTGATTGACGATAAGGAAACTCGTGGCAACCGAGTTGGGTACTGTACCATTATTAACTAAAACTCGCCCTATGTACGTCCCTGGGACATTTTCCTTCGCGTGGAAAATTAGAGGTGCCGTTGTTGCTCCTCTAAAAAATCAGAATGCATTGATTTTCGTTTTTTTCATTTCAATAGTTCCTAATAAATAATTATTCTTTTATAATATCAAAAATAAATTCTTAGAATAGAGAATATATATTTGTAATATAAAATAAATTCTTTTTTCCTTTTTCAAATTGAATTTCTTTTGAATAAAGAACGATTGATATTTTATCTTAAGATATGGAAGTCGATTAAAAAATAAATCAGGAAAACGGTGAAACGATTTGTACGAGTATTTTTCTCAACAGCGTTTAAATAATAATCAATCACTCTCGATGATGTGTGTGTGTGTGTGAATTCGATCGTGTTGAAATAAACTTACTTTGTAAAAGCACCCCTCTCATCGTTAGGATCGACCACATGAATGGAAACGTTGGTTACAAGAGTTAAATCCCTCTCGTCAGTTACCAAACCTTCGAACTCGTAAGTCGAACGATCGTATCGTTCTATTTCGTCCACTACCGTTATCGTTCCTGATCGTTCCTCAACAGCGAACGGAACTGAAAGCCCATTGGATATGCATGCACCACGTGTTACGTATTACCATGAATAAAGTCAGTCATTTGTATGAGACGAATTTTCCAACGATGTCTTTTTTATCTAATTTGAAATTCTTTCCAAATATTTCAAGTGATCTTTAATAATCTAAATTCGAGTATCGTTTAAAAAACGATCGTAAAAAAATCGACCCTTTCTGATTCCAAACGATAAGAATTATTATTATTATTTCTCTTGATAAAATGAAGAAACATTTTAGCGCTGATATAGTTTGAAATATTCTAGGCAAACTCATGTTACAAAAATAAATTAGATAATGATAAAGGATTAACTGGGAGAAAAATTGACACCGAGTTAGAAAATCTGAAATTTTGACGAAGCGAATCTAATGCGAGGAGGTAAATTTGTATTTGATTTTTGTTTCTTTCTTTTTCTCTCTCTAGAACAACTGAATTAGAAGTACCTCCTTCCTGATAACTATGAAGAAGATCGTAGATAAGATCGCTCGTCTTAACTGCATCATTTATACGAATCTGGCCAACGCTGGTACCGACTGGCACATTGGCACCGACCCAAAACTCGTACGGTGCTCCGACGAAGTCGGGTTCCCAAGAATCTGGTCCTGAAACGAGAGAGATCGGAGATCAATAGAAGAAGAAAAGAACAGTCAGAGTTTGATTGATTCTTGGCTCTTAAAGAGCGATCTTATTAACCACATACAATTTCTTTTCCAATTAATAGCGTACATAATACATTTGTATCAAATACAACGACGTTTTGCTTGTGAGTTACATTATATAAAAATGAACGCACACAGAAAAACGAGAGATGACAAATTATTATTGTACATGTAATATACAATTTCGTTAACAAATAATTATTGAAAAATTGTATTTGAATATACGCATGATTAGTATAAGGTTTTTAAGACAAGTTAGGACAAATATGTAGATATCATAATTATTTTCACTTTCGAAGAATACTAAATAAATTAACACACACAAAGAGAGAGAGAGAGGAGAGAAATTCTTTCGCATTCTTACACGCAAAATGATTGTGTTGATTCTTACGTTGAAAAGAAACGAACAATGCCTGCCCTTTTTTACATCCTACGTCGAAGAAGAAGAAGAAGAAGAAGAAGAAGCGTGTTGTGTATCATTCCGCGTGTAAGAAATCGAAATAAGAAGGAAATTACCGTCAGGACGGAAAACATCTAGCGTAACAACGGCCAAAGAGAATCGCCTTTCACTCGGATTCGCTGGTTGATCAGCAGCCTCGACAAAGATCGCGTGCCTTCCCTCGACGATAGGACTTTCAGCGACGGTAATAACACCGGTCTTTTCATCAACCGCAAATGGTGGTATACGTGTACTAGAATTTCCTGGTTTTTGAAGAGTATATTTAACGAGTCCGTTCTGACCAAGATCCTCGTCAACGGCATGAACTTGTCCAAGTACAGTGCCGATTTTGGCATCGGCACGCGCCACAAGTTCGTACAAATTCGAAGGCACGAATACAGGATTATTATCGTTAGCGTCCAACAAACTAACGTGAATGTCTACCGATGAACCATTGGCACGTTTACCATCGGTCCAAATCACACTCGGTTTTCTCTCGATCGCGTAGACTTTCATTCTCAAACGATCCCTCCTTTCCCGATCCAATACGTTTTGATCTTTGACAGTTAACCAACCGGTTCTCGGATCCATCGAGAATGCACCGGACGGATCGTTCAAACGAAAAACAAATTCCCCGTTTTCTCCTTGATCCTTGTCCCGTGCTATTACTTGTAGAACGCTGAAACCATTCGGAAGATTTTCGACGATACTTATGTTGTACAAATCGACCTCGAATTCTGGCAAATTATCGTTCAAATCCAATACTTCGATTTCTACGCGTGCCATTGCCATTTTCAACGGATTGTCGATTTGCGAGGCATGAATTTGTAAAGAAAATTTGTTATTAGGTAGATTTATTTCGTTGTCGAGATCGATAGGACGTTTCAGGAAAAGCGATCCGTTCTTAGGGTCCAAATGAAAGTAACCATTCTCGTTTCCTGATATTATGTCATATCTTATGGACACGTTGATGTCGTGATCACGATCTACAGCATGAATCGGTGTCGTGAAGTTGATTTCCTTGAAAATCGGCTTATCCTGTTGGAGAAAGTCAAGAGAAATATGATAAAGGAGGAATCTTCTTTTTTTTTTCAATAAATCAAGAATAAATTCAAAAACCATATTAATTGATTGAAAGACTCGGATTGATTGGCACGATTAGACTCGATGATTTCGTATAAAGCAACATTTTATTCAATTAATAATTTGGCTGAACAAAATTGATCCGACGTTACGTACGACGTTTTTTAATATAGAATTATTTGAATCAAACCGTTTTAATATACGAAACAAATGGATTAGTTGCATTTTTACGTGTAAAATACATCCAAGTGAAATATTCATTAACCATGATTATATATTATGACGTATCGTGTAAAAAGTAACACGCGCGAAGTGAAACGTAGGATTGCCGTGAAAGTGATCACGACGTTTAAAATCTACTTTCGGTATACGATCCTATTTAACGAGAGAAAAACTTTCTTTTAATTGTACTTATTAGCCAAGAATATGTCAACGTTACTCCCCATTGTTATTATTATACTCTTGTCGTATTATTTTTTGTTCTTATTATACTTGAATTCATTGTGAAATAATCATAGGTACAAACTTTCCTAGGATTAATTCGTTAACGAGTAAATTAATTGTATAAACATAATATTAATTTAAAATTGTCTTATTATATAAATAATTATAAATAATATGATTATTTTCTTTCCTTACCGGCATTGGATAAAATTCATATATTTTAGTTTTGTAAACGTCCCGAGAAAATTTCGGATCTAGATCGTCGTTATCAATGATCGTTATCTTGACCGTTGTTTTATTACTCTTCGCGGGTACTCCCCGATCCTGAAAGTGAGACGGTGAAAAAATTGTTAAAGTAATCAGTGCGATAAGGATCAAGGATCCCGTCGTGTATAACAACACCATTACTCACGGTCGCTGTGATCACGAGCGTGAACTCGCGATCACCATTATCGTAATCCAATGGTTTACGAAGTATCAAAGCTGTTCTATGGCCAGATTCGAGGGAAAATTTGCCTTGATCGTTTCCTTTAACTATAGCGTAATGAATATCGCTGTTAGGCGTATTAGGTTTGTCTCCATCGATGGCACGAATTCCACGAAAGATGGTTGCACCTACAAAATTCGTAATCAAAATGTTTTCTTTTTCTTTCTTTATTTTCCCCCTCGTTCGTTTCACTAATAGCAATTGTCTTGAACTGAAACTTTTTCTTTTTTTTTTTTATTAACACGAAAGCGTTAAAAAAATATTATTCATTTATCGAAGAGAGAGAGAGAAATAAATTATCTCGAATTAACTTCTATTTCTTTTCTTTCAGTATTCCTACGAAGACAAAATCGCGACATTTGGGCAAAATTCAGGGATTAAACGAAATGGATCTAAGGAAAGACTTACGGAAATCCTACTTTGCTATAGGTCAACGAATTCACCGTAATCTCGTTTAGAATTATCGAGGAACAACGGGAAGCAAGCTTCTCAGAGTTGAAAACATTTATTCTATATAAAAGAAATTTGACGAACTACGAGATAGGAAAATCTGTGTTAAAGAATTTTTCTTTTAATAATAGGGTGTTTCTTTATATCACCTATATTATTATTCTTCCATTGTTTAAACTGATGATAATAATCGTAAAAAAGAAAAGAAAAGAAAAAAACAAGTATATAGAATCTTATATACATATACGCTTTATTGTTATAAAATGCAAAACTATTAATTCAAGTTTGAATTTATTTCAATATTATTCAACCCAAGAGAGAGAATTTAAATGGTCATGAATCTTTCATAGTAGAACTAGTTTTCAACTCAAGAACTATAATTTGTCTTAAAACGAAGCATGCATATATAAGTTAAGGTACTTTAAGAGGAAAAAGTATTTTATTCGGCGAGTGGACAAAACCTACTTATAGTTAGTTGAAATAAAACGTTTGTGAAGTATAATCTTACCGGTTGGCGTGAGCTCGTCGACTGTCACGTGATAAGGTGCATCGACAAATTGTGGTGCATGATCGTTAATATCTTCTACGTAAACCGTGACCGATAAATGCGACGATACCTGAACGAAAGCAACCTATTATTAAATTATTTCCGTGTATCTCTCTCTAAACTTGTTTATCAAAAAATAAGTACAAAGTATGTCACTGAAAAATATTATGGCAAATTAATGCTATCGGTTGATAGTAGTCACAAAACAAACAAAATAAAATGATCATGCATTCCGAACGGTACTTTACTTCGTTCAATATGTTCAACGTGTCGTAGTTAGGCACGTGCATTTTCTTGAGAGAAGATAGAAATTTATATACGATATCACAGATTGGGAATAGATGTAACAGATATATACAGTTAGACGCTTAGCTGTATCAGCTGTATGGATTATTTAATCATTCTCTCGAATACTTTGATAACTTCATGTTTTTTTACTCTTTGCTAGAATATCACGCTTCGATAAAGATTTTAGAACTAGTAAAATAAAAAAGAAGTATATATATATAAATGTTATAGTATGTTTCATTTTGTTGATAATTTATGCCAAAAAAAAAATCTCATAAACGCCTGTGAACGTAACGCATTAGACCTAAAATCGTATACGTTACGTAAATGTTGGCTATTAAAGCATGACGGATATATAATAAAAAATAACTTGTAACGAACGACGTTTATTCGGTGATAGCTTTAGAACGTTATAATTAGCATCTAGTCTAGCATGTTGAAGAAAGAAAGAAATGAAGAAAAATCTATTTAAACATTCACCAAGGTGTCCCTGCCATCGGTGAAGTCACAGATGACCCGGAATTTCAGTAGATTTCTCGGTGATTCCGCGTCTACGAGATCTTCCAATGAGTGTGCTAATGTCACAGATACATGGGTACCATTAACGTCTTTGTAAGAAAAAAAACGACTGTCCTCTTCCTGTAACATTAAACACACGTACCGCATAAAGAAACACCGTTGAAATAACATCAATCCTTTTCATTTATTTTCTTTTTCTTTTTTTTTCGTTGTTTCAAAATAAAAAGACCTCTTACCTAACTGAAAGTTCAATTATGAAAGGAAGATTTAGAAAGAAAGTGAAATGTACCTTGTCGACGGGAATAATGGTAAGACGATTTCTTGGATGAGCTTCCAATGATAAAATCTCTGAACCTTCTCGTAAATTTTCAGGCACTCTGACAAATTTTAAATATTCGCCGATTGGGTAAAATTGACATCCTGTAATAAATTTAATACGAAATATATATATACATATATGAAAAAAAGAAAAAATATAAATTCACCATATATAATAATATATTTTGTATTATTACTGTCATTAGTATTTTATTGTTTAATATTTCACTAATTGTGTGCGAGTGATTATTAGATAATTAATACCAATTACATAACAATATTATATTACGTGTAAACGGGTTAATAAGATTTTATAGGAAAATCATTTTAATCCACTAGAGTCGATTGAAATATCGAATTGATAAAACGATGGATTGCATATTGCAATAAATATTGATTCGATAGCTACCAAAATACTCTAATTAATTTCCATGATTGAAGATACTTCGTTCTGCATAGGTCAATTAAATTCTTAATCGATCTATTATCAGAATAAATGTTAACATCCAATATATTCGTTATTTCGCATTCGAACAATACAGAGTACGATGATCTTACGTGGGTGTATATACAAGGACACATACATACACAGACGAACACGAACACTAATTTAAAAGTACAACTTTCGTATATACGAGCATCGATCGATGTTTCATAATCGTTGCTTTAACCTTTCACAATGTATTTTTTTTCCTTTCAGTCGTGCGTAAAACGTCATTTTCTCGAGCAGCTAACTCTAACCGCAACGTGATACAACCGATACTATTATAAAAAAAAAAAAAAAAAGAAAGGAATTAGTATTTAAAAATTGAACACACAATTAGAGGTAACTCGTTTCGTGCATAAGTTAATTTAATTTGTACGTAGGTTGTTTTAAACAGAAGGTTATTGGTGAAAGGGACCAGAAATCATTTTTTCTTTTTCTTTTTTTTTTTTCTAATCAACTCGCGAATTAACATGAACAGTATTATTTGTCACAACGAGTTCATTAATTCAAAATAACCAAACCGACCTTTATCGTTGTAAGAAAATCATTTAGCGTGACAAGAAAACCAGTTGGATTTTTCGAAATGATTTTTTCTTTGTGTGTGTGTGTGTGTGTGTGACGTTAAACACAATAAAAATTCTATTGAAAAATTTGCGCGCGTCGGTTGGACCGTTCTTGTTCTTTTTCTTTTTTCTATTTTTTTTATTTATTTCTAATACAAAGCAATTTTAAATAGTAGTAGGGAGAAACGTTACAACTGAAAATTCTATTAACGACGTTTAATGAGAATTTAACCTGCAAATTCGTAAATTCGTGTAAAAGCTGGCACACCCAGCGTTTGACAATTGGCAAACCCACACGTTTATTTAGATTCTATTGAAAGTTTTAGAAACGGCGTTAGAAATTCGTAAATAAACGATTCACGGCTGCTGATCGCAAGCACTCGGTAAATTGTAACTGAGAAAGTTTTAATAACGTAGGTCGTCGTTGAGTTACGCAAAACGTTAACGGAAGAAGAGGTCTCGAACTCAACGTACACCTGTCCCTTTCTACGATTTTTCCTTTACCGATCTCACGGTTGTCGTATTAAAAACGATTAATCAAATCCGATCTTTATTAATCCAAAATGAAATGAACATTAAACATGTGTCGAGCTTTGTTTAGAATATATTTCTACCAGAAAACGGATCAAATGATTTATCTTCAAAAAGTCTATACGTTATTATTAATATTATGCAATAACAATTTTTCAACTCACCAAATAATAGAACAACGAAATTATAACAAATAACAAAATTCTTCTCCCCAAAAAATTGACGATCGGTCATTTGATGCGTTTAAGTGTTAATATTTCTTGTATTGTTCGATTAAAAATGAATGTTCGATGTAAAACAATAATCATACCGATTTAAATTAGAAAGAAAAATAGTTAATTACGAGTAATTAACTGGTTAAACATTTCGTTTGAAAGAGAGCAAAACAACTCCCGAGTATGGTGCGAAGTAGGATTTGAGGACAATGCCGATCACGAAAAGTCCCATAACGTATTTTCAAATAAATTATACTTCTCGCGTGCCGAAGAAGGTAAGATACACAGAAGTTTCTCAGGATTGTATCAATGGGTGAAAATAGAGAATAATTAATGGACCTTAAGCTTGCTATGTTTGTTGTACCACCGATTATCATTCGTTACAACGGCGAGAAAGATACGACTATTCATCTTCCCCCTCCCCCGGCCTATATATTTATTATTTTATTATTCTTTACATACTTTCTTACAAAAAAAAATACTTGATGAATGGTTTCACGTTAGTATACGCATTGTGTATAGTATGCGTTTGTATCATCATATTTTTCTTTTTTCATTCACTCGTGTCTATCCGTTTTCCCCTTTACAAAAGTTTCAACGATGGATGAAGAGGAAACTGGGGTGGAGGAGGGAAAGAAGTTAATCGTATTCAAAAGTAGAACTGGGAATATTTTAGCCTCGATAATTCTGCCTTTTACTTTATTAAACTGAACTTTTCCCAAAGTTGGGACTGGTTGTTACTCGTCAAGCGTGTCAGATGGTTATAATAAATTACAGGAAAGCTGTAAAATCAGAAACTCTTGATAATATCGAAAGGGAAACGGGTTGAGTACTATTACTCGTGTGTTTTATCGTTCAATTGGTCATAACAAGTTTTTCTTTTTGTATGTATATCGTTACGTAATTTATATTTTATCTCTACTGCATAAGAAAATTACTTTTTTTGTCGTGTGCCTAATTATGCAATTTATATATCTATGCTCGTTAAATAAAGACATTTGTTGCCACGTGCTATTTGATGCTTTTTAAAAAGAGATTAATAATATTAAACCGATACTCTTAGCGAATTTCACTTTAAGCTTCGCAAACAGGCAATTTCACTTTAGCCCGGACACGAGATGATGATGATGATATAGCGTTAACGTAAAGCAACGTAATCGAATTCATCCGGTTATTCGGGAAAACGACGAAAAGGTCGTCAGTTACTAACACGTTCTGACATTACGTGAATCGTTATAATAATACAAACAAAAAAATATATATATATTTATAAAAAATTTATTACCAAATAAATTCATATATTTTCTTCGTTAAAATGAAATCTATTTTATTTTATCTCTAGACGATCGTTTCGATCATCTATATAAAAAGATATTTTTATAATCGAGAGCTGCTGATTAACAGGAAAAAACTTTTGCAATTGGAATATCTCTGACCCAAAATAAAAAGACAAAAAAAAAAAAGAAAAAATAGGAGAAAAGTAATATACGACATTTCAATAACCACAATGAGAAACACACGATCCATCTATCCATCCTATACGACGACTAGTTACCGGTGCTAAAGAAAAGTTTCTATATCTTATAGTGAAAAAGATCGTATCTCAATTTATTCGGGTCGTGCAACTATCGGATTCCCGATACGATCGGATTTCCAAGCTCGTGCTATGCATCGTTACACGTATACTCTGCTACGTTTTTCGATGTGTCGATTTATTTCACGAATAAAACTCACCTCGGATTCCTTCCTTTTTTTCTTTTTCTACCAAATACTTAAAGTACAAATGTATCCCGTATAAAAAAATTACTAGCAATGACGGATTTCCGGCTTTGACGGTAACATATATATATATTTATTATTATAATATTATTAGGTAACATATATATGTATATATGTATATATTTATTATTATAATATTATTAGGTCGTATGAGAAAAAAAAAAAAGGACTTTGCAATTATACTCCGAAAATATCGTTGCGAATAAAATCGATCGAGCAGCCGTTGCATGTGTGGCCACAGGTGTGTACCATACGAACTTACTTATCACGTTTGGACTTTCACCATATTGTAAAAAGATTGGTGCATGTTTTACGATACCCATACATATATACATACACACATAAACTCGTATATACTATTCAATTCTTGGCTTTTTTTTTCTTTTTTCTTAACGAGTTTCTCCATCTTGAGACGTTATTATCTCCGATATGAAAAATACTACATATAAATGTAATCTATAGATACCACACACAATTAATGTGTATATATATATATAAGCGTATATAGAAATGATTACATGTAACTTAACGATATTACGTAGCATTATCGGCTTGAACAAATCCATTTGAAATCAGCTGTTAGACGAAATCACATAGAGACATAGACATAAACGAAAATCCCTAAGCTTGAAGTTCGTAGTTCCATTTCGAAACGAGCGAGGCACGATTTAAAGCCAGAAAATTGCAACGGCGGCCGACGAGAAACTGTGTCAATGTCGCTGTGTGCCCGGCGAACTTAATTAAAGGAAATTTAAAATTCAACTTATCAAACTAGGAACATTCGTATCCTATTTCTTTTTTTTTTCCATATTATATTATTACAATTTTACATAATGCGCTTATGTATTATCCTTTTGTTGCGTAAAAATACCAATGAATATTTTTTTACAATTTGTAATACAATCTTATCTAAATTGTCAGAAATTTATCGAGAAATCATTACTTTTCTTATTAAATTATCGAAGGAAAAAAACAATGATCTTATAGATTTTAAACAATAATTTACATACAAACAAATACGATATTATATATCGAATAGATAATAGAATTGAAAATCCAGTTATATCAGATTCTTAAGGAATAACTGGGCGTAATTTTTGTTCATCTCTGAGTGAGGTAAGCTCGAAAGAAGCTTAACAAAATATACAATGATCGTAAACAAATGAGAAAAGGAACCGAACCAAAAGCTTTGTAAGAAAATCCGTTTGTCGATTTCATTTCTCTCTCTCTCTCTCTCTCTCTCTCTCTCTCTCTCTCTCTCTCTCTCTCTTTTTCTCTCTTTCTTTTTAGTATTTATTTATTTTCTTTTTACTCTTTTTCAAGCTGTCTCCTCCTTCTACTCCTTCTTCTTCACAGCTTGNCGAAAGAAGCTTAACAAAATATACAATGATCGTAAACAAATGAGAAAAGGAACCGAACCAAAAGCTTTGTAAGAAAATCCGTTTGTCGATTTCATCTCTCTCTCTCTCTCTCTCTCTCTCTCTCTCTCTCTCTCTCTCTCTCTCTCTCTCTCTCTCTTTCTTTTTAGTATTTATTTATTTTCTTTTTACTCTTTTTCAAGCTGTCTCCTCCTTCTACTCCTTCTTCTTCACAGCTTGGTTTTATCAATCTTTTTCTTATTTTCCTCTCTCATTTTTCTGTTCTATTCGAACCGAGGAGAGGATTACTTTGAAGAGATGAACGGACCAAAGCGAGTCCCCTGCATCTTCGTCAAAATATCACCGAAGAGACAATACCCGTGCATCTTTCTATATATATATATATAAATGTACGTGCAATAGTGTTGTATTAAAATGGGAACGTCAGAATATTTTCCTTCCCTAAGCGAAAGCTAAGAAAATATTTCTCTCTTTCTTTCGGAGAAGAAGCTTTTGCTCTTAGAGGGTACGATTGTGTCTAAAAAGAAAGAAAAGAAATGACAAGAAAAAAAAAATATTATTTCGAAATTGAACTTTCGCGTAGTAATAATGGAGTGTACTTTTTTCGATAATTAAAAATATTCCAATGAAAATATTCTTCTTACATATATAGATATATATACAATATATAATTATTTTTATTATTCATTTAATATCAATTTTGTGTATATATATATTTAAACGTGTTTACGTAAAATAATAAATGAAATATTTATTATTATTTGAAATAACAAGGTAGAACTATCTCCGACTCTGTGCCAGTGTGTATGCACGAACTGCATTTACACGAGTAAGCTCGTTCCTAAAGCTTTGACGGAAATGGGACAAGGTCAGCAAGCTTTTTGCACGTTTCCGTAGTTCCTTCTCAGTTTGAGAGTAATGCCGTAGACTTCGTACAGAACATATGTGTTTTAAATATATGAATATTTGTATGTATGTGTGACAGCTTCACATTTCCTTATATGACACATCACGTACATTTCATACACACACACACAGATACACACAAGGAACTTAAGATCTACAATTAATTAATCGGTACGCGCTCGAGCTCAACAGCAAATGTTCGTTAATGAAGTATAAAAAAGAAAAGAAAAAAAAGAAAAGAAAAAAATGAAAAGAAAATAAAAATACCTTGAATACTAACGAGGCCGCGCACGATCTCACGAGATTGAAATGATAATCGTGAGAATGAACGGGGCCCATCTCTTTGGACGAAAACACTATATATTACTACTAATGAACTATAATATTTTAAATATAATATATTTGCATGTATATATTTGGATTTGTTCAATTTTAATGACCGATAAACAAGTGTTCTTTAAAATAGTTCGTAAAATCTCAACAAATATTTAATATAATGCATTAGTAGTTATCTGTTAATTATTATAATTATCATAAAAAATATTTGAAATAACTTTCTACGCAATCTTGACATATACAAATTACACGAACACATATTTTTCTATCTATCAAGTTAAAACCATATATACTTATTTTTGAAATTGTATAACGATCACACATGAGAAACAGAAATAATTTGAATCATTATAACAATTAACATATAATCTTCGTTAAATAATTAGTAGAGAAGCTTCTAACTAAATCAAATTTTATATTATAAAGCAGGTCAAATAATTAGTAAGATTAAACCTTTTTCTTACTTTTTGTTTTGTTTACAATCAACAAATATTAAACCTTTGTAACTTCGTTTGCACGTAAGAATGAGATTCATTTCGATTACATACGCCTACCTGCCACGTGGTCGAGTCTTACAACGAGGACCAACAATAGAAAGATCCACGTTGACGATATTCTGGAGCAAATAATTGTTGTTGTTGTTTTTCTTCCTTCTCTAGACGACGACATCGTCATCATCTTCTCTCCTTTGCCAGGTACTTCCTCAAGTCGTTCTTTCGGACATCCCTGGAAAATTATTCGTAATGATTCGTGAGTACGGATTTAAGTGGAAATCACAAGCGTGACGTTGCATTTTCTATGGGGTTTTTCGCGCTCACTCGCACACTCGTCATTCCTCGTCGTTCATACGCCACGTTACTTACTTTACTTACGGGTTTCTGCCCTCATAAAAAGCACTTTACTCTCGATCCTTTACTATGGTTCTTGAAAAAGTATACGAGAAGGGAGGGGGAAAGGGGAATCGAATAACGAGAATCAAGATTTTTATCGTGCAGGAAGAAGTAATAAGAGAGAGAGAGAGAGAGAGAACAAAATTGTAAGAAAAAATAAAGTAACGAACGTTTTGCATCGAAATGATAACGATCGTTTTTCATTAAAAATGTACCAAGGTATTAATAATAATTAATATACATGGCTATAATTCTTATTCTATATTCTTTTGAATATATTATTATTTGTTTTTTGTTTTTTTGTTTTCGCAATTACCTTTTATATAGATTAACTGTTTTAAATAATCTAATTTTTTGTTCTAACTATTTTACAGTTTCACAATTATTTATTTTTTAATTCGAATGTGTTTATGTTATGTAATATAATAATTAATATATCGATGACGATAATTCTTCTTGATAAAAAGGATAAGAAATAAAATATCTAATTTTAATTGCAACCGTGTTTTATATTAATGACTCGTGCTACAAATTCCTCCTTACTTTCTTTTTTTTTTTTTTTTTAAGAGAACACATGTGACAGAAAGTATAAGATAAATATCACGAAAAAGGTTTTAGCCGAAATGAAAGAACTTTCACTGGGAAAATAATATTCGTACGATCTAGATTGTAAGAAGTCAAGTTAACTACTACACACGCGCACGCAACACACGCACATGTCTCTCTCTCTCTCTCTTATTTTTAATGAATACTACAATCGTTACTAACACTTCGTACTACGCGAACTAACGATCTCGAACATCTAAGCTTTAAATAAATTTATCACAAGCTTTAAATAAATAATATCGCGAAGAATTTAACGAGAAAGGGGTTGGTTGGTTGCTTGCACGTTGTTGGGATAAAAAGAAATCCATTTTGCTTTGGTGCATTAACATGAAAATACGTGACAGACTTTTTACTTCGTACGATTTCACTTTCGACGAACCGAACTCGACCGTAAACTCGAGCAAATCGACGTTATGCGATTCCCCCGGACGAGACTGCGAGTTTTATTATTTTTCAACAAAAAAATAAAACAAAAAATAAAAACAACTTTTATTATCTATTACTATTTATTAAGATAATCATATACCAGAGTTAAACTAATAGAATTATATAAAATTACGATAATTTTTAGTCAACAAATGTTGAAATAATTTTGTCTAATAAAAATTATCGATGAACTCTCTGGATCATGAAGTTTTACGAGCTCGCTTGTGAGTGATATTTCAAAAAATGATAAGACATCAAAACGTTTACGATCTTTTTCGAATATCTCTCCGTATCTTCACACACACATATATATGAAAATCTACGACTGACCTTGTCAAACAGTGAATAGAAACTAAGCCAGGGTGAGGATGACTCACGAATTTGGCTTAAAACAAGCGATCGTTCTTTACGAGAAGTACTATTTTCCAAAAGAGAGAATGCCAAAACGAGGGATGATGATGATGAAGAAGAAGTTCTTCTTCTGGTTTAGAGCAAGTGCACCAGTGCAAGGACACCGCACGTAACACACTGTATTACTCGTAGATCGATCTTGATCACTCGTAGGACACGATCGAACTGACTTCTGACATCCGAGTAGAAAATTTCTTATTAAAACGAATCTACTCTCTCTTTTCTTTCCTTTCCTCTCTCTTTTTAGACCAGGCTAGTAGTATTCGGCGAGAAGCACAAAGAGGTACAACTTTCGCTCAGTAATACGTTTCACGAATGACTGACTGGCATTGGTTTGACGCGCACGAACGAAAAATATCATTCGTCTAGCAACAACAAAGTGTTTGACACAATGTCCATTCCGAAAACTGACTGACATCCAATGGTAGAAAACCTCGACAATTGTCTTTTTCGATAAAATCGATAGAAAGTTGAAACGAATATATTATTCCAGGATAATACGATCTACCGTAATTCTTCTTCTTCTTCTTTCACGAAGCAGCTAAGCTTACTTGGTGTCTTATAGGGGGATTTTGTCGAACGTCGTCGCGTTTAAACGGCACGAGCGAGAAAGGAATGGTTAAATGTGTCTTACTACTGCACACGTTGCACCTTACAAGGTGCACCTACAATCTTACCTTACTTCGAAACCCCCTTCCATGGCTACAGGACGATCGTCCTTTCGCTTTCAGCGGCCACTGACCACTTCGACCGTTCGCTTGCTTGCTCACTTTCTTGTTTGTACGTTCGACACTCTCAATGCACTCGATTGCTTGCACTCTGCACTTTTCTTCTTTCTATAGTTCTATATATATATATATATATATGGAATTCTCTCGAAACTTTTCTATTATTTTCTATCAGCATAAATTCATACGATAGTCTGCCCAAGACATATATGAATAATTATATGTGTATTACCTTAGCTTCGTTAACATTTGATTTTTATTATTATGAATCATTGTATAAGATTCTTAGAAATCCTTGATTATATTCGATAGATAGCCTTTCTCTCTTCCTTTTTTTTATCTTTTTTCTTTCGAAATGCATTCCATGAAGAAGTAAGAATGTATTGTATGATAAATGAACTATTTTTTAATATAATGGAAAAGTTATTGTGGTCTTGAAAATATTAGAAACACGCAAAGATAAATTTGACATATTTGTATTATCATAGTATCGATAACGTTCTCCATTCGATATCGTTGACATTTATGATTCTCTCGTTTCTTCTGACGATACCAACGTGACATTCCAAATTCGCGCAAACGATGCTGAATACTATTTGATGGTTGTGACTGTTGAAATGATACAATATGTTCCCATCAATAGTATGTTTCCAATTCATAATGCTAAAACCGTTCGAGAGCAATTCAATGAACAATCGATGGAAAGCAAGCTCGATTAAATACGAGAACCTTACTGTAATGACAATGTGACATGTTGACAATTCGCGAATACATATGCACGTATTATGCCATCTGGTTTTTCATTTTTTTTTCTTTTTTCAAAACAGATTCATAAGATTCTTTCGAAGATAGTATATTAAAATGAAAAGAAAATTCGAGGATTAGAAAGAGAGAGAAAGAGAGAGAGAGAGAGAGAGAGAGAGAGAGAGAGAGAGAAAGAAAATAAGTGGAATATTATTGGTTCACTATTGGATAAGCCATTAGTCAAGTGGCATTTTCACTTTCATTCGTTAAGATTTGTAACCGCAAGATCTATTGATATAACCACCAGCAAAATGTGTTACGCTTGCTACCTTCACCATTGCCATCATTTTCTTCTAATAGCTTTTATGTCATTAGTATTACCACTTCTCTTAACAGATATTCGATAATAACAGAGATGTTTCTAAATCGACTATAAGAATCTTATCTAAGATTTAGTTAAACATTTTCATTAAATTTACATTAGATATGTACTACATAATGTAATAAATCTTTTTCTTTCTTTCTTTTTGGAAATATTTGAAATTTCATGTTTTACAAATCGTATTATTAAACTAAAGATAACAGTAAAATTCTTCTTTCGTTCCAAATATAGCGAAAACCTACTACAATATAGTTCAGTCATGATCAAGGTAACTAGAAACTAAACTATCATTGTATACATTATCTCCGAAAATAGTCATGCGCCTTTTCTTTTTTTAACTCGATCTCTTGAATCTCAATTGGTTGCAATAAAAAAAATATAAAAGAACAACGACAATCGAATATCAAAACGGAACACGTTTATATATTTGAAAAACAAACTTAATAAAAAGATTAATGCAAATTACGTGGAACGGCTAAAATCACAAAAAGAAAACAAACAAATAATCAATCGACCTTTTAATAATTAAATTGTATAAAAGAATGTTCGAATAATTATTATTAGATTAATATTCAATTATCAAAAAGATTGGATTATTAATTGGATAAAGAAAATAATGAAAAATAATGAACGTTTACGCGAAAGGAGCATTCTTCGTTTATGAATTCCCAACTAGAAATAATTTTCATACTTGCTCACATTAACGCACGGGTTGTTCCTTTTTATTATTATTAATAATATCAAATGGATAAATGATGAGACGTAATTATGAATAATTAATTCCTAAAGGGAGAGGTCTTTGGATAAATCCACTGGACACACGTTATATGTGAGCCCTTCGATCGTTTAACACATTGGACATTTGGCCTATCATCTGTGTGTGTGTGTGTGTGCATCTATCTACATTGTGTTTTGTCTGCTGACCTTGTCCTCCTTCTGGTATCAAAAACTATCAAGGACGAGACCTAGAGAGATTTTTATTTCATTTATTTTAAATGAAATTCTCTCTCTCTCTCTCTCTCTCTCTCTCTCTCTCCCTCTCTCTCTCTCTCTCTATTTCTCTCTTGCTTCTTTCAAAAATCTTTTTGACACCATCTCGAGTTTACGAAAAAATTCTTCATTGAATTTTCTAACAAAACTTATTCTTTTATACGAAATAAAAGTTAATAAAAAAAGGAAAGAAAATAAATGACATTAGAAAATTATTAAATATATTGAATGTAATACTGATTGAACTGCGAAATTAAAATTGAAAATGAAAAATCGATCGATACCATAAATTTTCTAACAATGACTATACTTCTTGGCTTAACTTTAATGTATTCTAAACCATGCTAACCGATATATATATATATCAATGGAAACGATTTCAACTGGTGAAATCCGAATAAGGAGGAATAAAAAATTAAAAGTCATAGTTGGAAGTACTTTTCCTTGTTAAGATTGACGAGAAGTCATGATCGGTTGGACGCATACACACGACGAACCGTACTCGTAGTTTCTTTTCACCATCGTACGACGCTATGTGCACTTTAAAATCCATCGAAAGTATGTGAAGGAAAGTGCTCTTTACTTTTTTCACTTTTTCCTAACTTTTATGCATGAAAGAAGAAATAAATAGAAAGAGAGAGAGAGAGAGAGAGAGAGAGAGTAAAGTATATTAACTGCGAAAGAAGACGAGCTAGTTTAAACACACACACACACAGACAGACGCAAAATACAAAATAGCTAATAGAAAATATTCTATGAAAATATAAAAATAAAATAAGAATTTACGATGACACATACGTTTATATATAGAAAATAAATAATAGAACAAGTTTGAAAGAAATAATCGAAAATATCGTATAATAACAAACTAAATCAAATTGTTACAAGTTAAGTGGTTAACTTAAGTTAAGTGGATAATAGGATCGATTTACGAGTTCTTCGGAAACCAAAAGATATCCGATTTATACACTTGTTTTAGTTTTTTAAGTATCAAATTTCGCTTGGAGAAGAAACAAGTCGGAAAACAAAGGTATCGAAAAGATTGATGGGAAGGATTCTAACTGATCGTAGAAGCGTTAAAACCTGTCATGCTCGAACGAGGCTGCATTGAACGAATCGATACGGTCCAACGAGTGAATACTTTGGTGATGAGCACCTCTCATGTTCAATATTCAAAGATAAAGTGAGAGAGAGAGAGAGAGAGAGAGAGAGAGAGAGAGAGAGAGAGAGAGAGAGTGAGAGAGAGAGAGAATGAGAGAGATTTTACTATAGGGATTATAAGCCCTATGGATTTCACCTTGAATTTATTCGATAGAATCATGCTATAATATCATCTCGTTCTTCTATTTCCTCAAAATTTGATACACCTCGATAACTATCGGATTGAATAAATAGTTTCTTCCTATTTTCTTCTGGCAAAACACGGTTTTAAGATTCCATAATTCTTCTAACATTAATCGGATCATATAATACTTATTGTGCGATTTAAAAAACTGACATATCGTACATAATAACGAAACGTTGAAGAAATAACTTATTAGACTTTAGCATTAAAATACGAAGAAAAAATAAAAGTTTTCACTCGAATCAATGTAATGAGAGTTGATTTTTTGTGTTTTTTTTATTCTCGTTCGTATAAGTTTGATGTAATTGACACGAGTAATAGGGTATTATCGAATAGTACTTATGCATTAGAAAATATATTTTTATACTTTCACGTATAAATTAGTTGTGAAATATTTAATCGATCTAAACTGGTTAGCAAGTTTTAATTGAAAAAATTAAAATGATAACTGAAACTCGCCTGGGAAATATAAAAGATCTCCACAAAAAAATCTAATCTTTTTAAATGTTAAATATACTTCTTTTTTTTCTATCAACGAAGTTTCTTTTAATTCGATGACATTTTTAGTATATTTGTTGATAAGAATTTAAGGAGAGAAATAAAGTAGTCAAGTAAATGAATAAGTAAGGTGTCCTTGTTTATCCGGTGTGTTGGTCACGCTTTAACGAGTACAATCTATGAGAAAGAGTAAAATAAAAACTATAGCGAGCAACGTGTATGTGCCCTTTCATAAAGAATTCCACCAATGAGATTTAAAACACCTAGTTGGAGAACTAGTCGAGGAAATTGGTAACCGTCGGTTTTCATTTAAATCTAACTGATATTTACAATGTAAATTTGTTCGATAATATTATAAAATTATTTTCTAAAATTTCTCTCTTGGACTCGTTCGTTCGTTCGTTAGTTTTTTCGAACGAATCTAAATGTCTTTCACCGAACAAAATTACGAATAATTATCGAAAACAGAACGACTTTGAACGAGTTGTTACGACTGACCGATCATTGACCGGTCTATAAATTATGATTATACTTTCGAGATTCTAGAAAACTGTTTCCCATTGCGTCATTTTACTTACCGAACTGAACTAACAAAAATCTATACTCGTGTATGTGTGCCAGATTGAGAATTATTGTAATATTATTAATGATTTGTGATTATAATCGTTCGTTAAAAAGAAAAAGACAAGTACAAAAAGTTGGAAGAATTTAATGAAAAATAGTCTAATTCGAGAAAAGAAACATCGATAACTTCCGTTAATTAACTTTTATTGCATTGGCGATTGTAGTTCTACCATTTGCACTCGCATACTTTAAACACAAACGAGTATAGAACTAACTTGTAAATGTTATTTTGTAATACATGTGTATGTACGCATATGAACGATTTAAAGGTTTATTTTAACTCTTTTATTACCCGTTAACGGAACGTTTACAATTATTCTATGTATCAAGCCCGTCAACTTGGAAAAACTGCGGAAAAGAAAATAAATGAAAGAGAGATAAAAGTGATAGAAGTGAGATCGTTTACCCAAACGTTTCGTTTGGAAGAAGTATTTGTCCATAAAAAGAAAAGAAAAAGAAAGAAAAAAAGGATAGAAAAGAATAGAAAAGAGAAAAAAACACACACACACAGAGAGAGAAGCGAAATCGTAGGTTGAATCGTTTGGCGTAATTTCATTCGTATCCTTTTGTACAAAATCCAATTGTTAAACAGAGATTTCTCTCTTTAAAGTCAATGAGAGAAACTGAATTTTATCAGTGACTATTAACCACGAAGTCGAGCGAGTGGAATCACTAGCCGGAAAGTTAAGGAAAAGTCTTGTTTTATTTCAAACTCTTATTCCAAAGGGCGTGTCTTCTTTTCCTAAACGTTTTATTCAAAGACTTTCTTACAGCGAAATATTTCGTTAATCAATAATTATTTCGTGAAATGAAAATCTGATATATTTTGTCCGATATTGTAAACCATTGACTAGAACAAAATATTATTAGTATTACATAAAGAAAAAATAAAAGTATGATAAAGTATCTATCGGATCGACTGAAAATAAAAAGTTGAAGAAAAAGAAGGAGGAATCCTTTGAAAGGATCGTTAAAAAATGATTAAGTCGACAATGTGTGTTAAAACCGTTTGCAATTAAACCGTAGGGAAAGTGTTGTGCCTATTAGAGGCATGAGGAGGAGGAGGAGTAGTTCTTCTCTCTTTTATCAAAAGATCATTCGGCAATCCGTATGCATTTGCATTCTCGTTTAGGAAGGAGAATATAGTATAGGAGGGTATAGTATTCGCGAAACGAGAACGGGTTCGTTTTAATGCTCGGCCGCGGACCCCGGCCGATTTGAAATTCAAGCGCCAGCTTTATGCTCGATCGCTCCTCGGAATAAAAAAACAAACCTTTTCTTTATTCTCTCTTTCTCACACACTATTTTTATTCCTATTTTTATTCCTCTCCCACACTCACTAACAATTCTCTCTTCGATTGTGGATCAATGAGCTAAGATACCAACCATTACTAGCCTGCTAACCTGCTTTCAATATTTTCTTTAGGACAATTTTTGTTTCGTACCTTTCCCACGTCCAATTTGATAAATCGATATCATCTATCTTCTTTATCGAAGAAAAAGCGTGTTATTTGTAAATATTATATATTTTGTTAACGTACCAAGGATAATATCCATCCGATTTATAAACCAACGCCGAACCCATCCAAATAGCATTTTCTTGTTTGTCTTCTTCCCCCAAACAAATTGTTGATTACTTTTCTATACTTTATTTATTTATTTTTTTTCTTTTATTAACCAAGACTATTATGGAATTCGCGAAATAACGAGTCGAACGTACTATAGTGATTCTTCCTCTCGTTCAACGAAGACCTCTTCTTCCGTTTATAACACTACCAACCAAGCCGACAGCCGTACCTCCACTGATCCTTCTTCTATACTCACTATCTACCTGTGCTTGCTTACCTGTTCTCAACGTAAATCAGTTTCTAGCGGCAGATGAGATGACCCGTTTCTTCCGGGTTTTCTCTCTCTCTCTCTCTCTCTCTCTCTCCAACTCGGCGTCATTTGCGGAAACATATTCCAAATAAAATAAACCGAATATGCTTTAAGCGGAAACACTTTATTATTTCCTATCCACGACTAACGTAATCTAAAATTCATTTAAATAGAATAACAATTTATCTCTCTCTCTCTTTCATTTATGTGTGTTTTATTTTTGTTTTAAAAGAAATCAGGTTAAAAGAAAGAAGAATGCTAATAGAACATGATGAATCCCTTGTTGATTATGTGTTTACTTTTTTTTATTTCTTTTTCGAAAGCTAGTTGACTCTTACCTTTACCTGCGAGAATATCTAACAGTCCTCTCTCTCCCCTCCTTTCGACACCCTGATAAAAACGATCGTATGGAATGAGGACTTTTCAACTTCGTGTTAAGAGTTTTAACTCTTTCAAGTGAAATACCACACATATACTAATTATACATTTCGATCACCGTTAGAGTACGAGCAAAATTTATGCGTTACGACAGAATGTTTCTAACACTAACTTACGATTATGGGAAAACAAGTTTTCCTTTGGAATTGATAAAAAATCGATTTACGAGATGACGCCTATTTATATAATAATCGATACTTTATTAATAATACATTAAAAATTATTTCAATTATTGTTAATGATTTATTTTGATCTAACGGAAATGTTTCAAATACGTTGAAATATATAAAACTTTATTTTTTTATTCAACTTACATATTATTATTTATTTAAAATTCATCAAATGGATAAACTCGTAGTTTTTGTATATCCTATTATGTGTGTGTGCATGTATTGAATCAAAAGAAGAATATAAAGAAAAGTAGTGGCACCTTTCACAAATTTCAAACTTTTTCTCTATAGAGTTTTGTTTTACCAACAAATAATAAAAGAAAATCCTATAGATAGTGAAAAATTATCGACGACGAATAAAATTGATCGCATACTCAGTTTGATAATTATTATTAGAAATGCAACTGTCGATAAAAATAAAATTGATAACACGGAAAATAACAATTGATTTCTTTTCTATATTTTCATATAAAAATATATGACTCATAATCAATATCTTCTTATAAAAAAAAATATATATATATATTAATACCAAAAAGTATAATTTAACATTTAAATCACTCTCTTTAATAAATTCATGTATCATCATCCAAATGAACAGATCGTTCTTGTATCGGTACTCCAGTTAAATCGGGCATTGGTATAACAACGAAAGCACCACCTATAATTGTTTTTTTTTTTTTTTAATTTTAAAATAAAAAACAAGTTTAATTATAAAAATATAAAATTATATAAATACGAACTTATTAAAATAATAGATGCTGTTATTATACTAGCAAGACAGGAAAGATTTGATATAAATTTGATCATTGCCGCCGTCAAATGAGGTAGTATTCTTGTAAATCCCATAACAGTTCCCCTAAATATATTTATTAAATAAAATCATAACGATTTGATAATTAATAAATATATAAAATTATATACCTCAAACCGGTTGGATAATTTTCTGCTATTAAAACATTGACAATTGTATGATTGATCGCGTACGATGCGAGAAATATTACGGACAAAATAATTTGCATAGCATACTGAACTACAAAAATCACACAGAGTATTGCTAAGCCTCCTATAATTGATGAAAATACTGCAAATGTGTAATAAAATATTTCAATCAATTAATAGCGCACAATGTTGCATAATAAAATATATAAACTAACTCAATATCCACTTTTTCTTAACAATTTGTATTCCTATTATGAACAAAACTTCTCCCAATAAATAACTAAAAGAAATACACGATAAAAATATAAAACGTTGTTGATTAATTTGTTGACAATTCGATAAAAGACTCTCTGCTATTTCTAAAAAATTATTATTGCACGTATAATCATTTCCGCGTTTTTTCTCAATAATTGTTTTTCCAAGTTCATGTAACAAATGTGCATCCCAAAGAGCAAGCCAAATAAATCTTCAAATGGATGAAAAACATTAATTTAAATAATGTTAAATCTACGAAGTAGTAAAGTAGGTATTACACAGGGAAAGGATATTGATATTTTTAGATTACCCAGGAAATTGTAAGAAGCACAAAAATAAACTATAAATCGTGATACGTCTATATGGCAATTTGAACAATTTTTGTATTCGTTCTTTCGTCTTAACGCAGTATCTATAAATCATTTTGAAAAAACTGTTCGTATCTTGGATTTCTTCGTCAGGTTCGATGCAAGTATTCAAATTAATGCTCTGCAATATTTTTTAATAAATATCAAATGTTTTTTATGATCAAATTGTTTTTTCTTTCTTAATTGATTAATTAACTATTGATAAAAAATACCGGATAAGTTTCAATATGCTTGGAATTATTAATAGCATAGATCTGCCGAAGAACTTGTATAGCTTCTTCCTGACGTTGTTGATACAACAAGAACCTAGGTGTTTCTGGAAGTAAACTAACCGCGCAACCTATGATCAAACTAGGTGCACTACCAATTCCAGCAAGAACTCGCCATGAATTTGGACGAAATTTTTTGTACAGCATTCGTATAATTGAAGGAACTAAAGACCAAGATAAGCCTAGAATATAAAACATATGGTTTTTTGTTTGCCAATTTCAAACTGGAAATATTAATTATATGATAAACCTAAAGCGGACAGATAACCGAGGATCCAAGCAATATCTACAACAGCTAGACAAATTTCTCTTTTTTTCATCGGCAAACATTCGATGAGATATACCCTCAGTATCGTATAATTCCCGGCTAATCTGAAACGCACAAAAATATTCTATTAAAATTTGTACTTATTTCATAAAGTATATTTACCTACCCTAAGCCTAAAAAGAATATAAATAAATTAATTAAAAATGACGTTTGGGCGAAAGATAATGCAATAGATGCAGAAAATATGAGAACCATGGTAAACGTAATGATTCCTTTGCGTCCGCAAATATCGGCAAGACTTCCAAATAAGAAGGAACCAATTGCCATTCCTAAAATAGAAAAATAATTACCAGGTTCTTGAGAAATTTAAAATTATACGATGATGTGTATTCACATACCGAAAGATTGCGTAGCGTTAAATACTATGATGTCATTCTTCTCTAATTTTAAATCGCACATTGCTAATCGTGAGACAACGAAGACAATGAGGGAAGCAATGGCTTCCATGAATGTACAAACACCGCAAAATCCGACTATAAAATAATGGCATACTCCCCAACCTATATATATATATATAATTAACTTTTTATTTAATATATACTCAAAGATAAATTAACATTATATTAATATAAATTATAATCAATTAAATTTGTTTAGATAAAGAGGCTACCCGTTCTGTTCAATGCAATTTCACACCCGTTACTCATAATTTTTGACAAGTCGTTCAAAGAAATTTCTATGAAAATAATTGGTGTGTATATTAATTCGTAGATCATTCAAATATTTATTTTCAATCAATAATTCTTCATTGCATTCAATATCAAATTTACGAAATTGTATCTACGAAGAATAGATTAATAACACGACAACGCGATGACAGTACAACTGTCTATTTGCAATCATGTGAAATATTGTATAACTAAAGGTGTCGTTGTTTGCTTTTATATACTAGTTGTATGTTTAAAAAAAAAAAGAAAAAAGATAGCTAAGAATTATGCGTAAAAGAGAATAGACATTTATTAAAAAGACAACTAAAATAGCATATATTTTATTGAAAAAAATGACATTTTAATTTTGAATTAAAAAATAAAATAAAAGTTTATTCAAATACGTAAACGTAGTTTAAATGAGCAGATATTTTTAGATGTTCATACATTTGTTTTTATACTTACAGATAATATTTTATCTTGATTATTACAAACAAAAATGCTTATTAGATACAACTTTTATACGTACGATTTGAACAATTTCATTCATTATATATAACTTGTACTTAACTGTTTTATTATTTTGTTATTTTCTATATAAATACCGCTGATATTCCTTTGCGTAATTGATTTATTCGTAAAAATCAAAATGAAACGACATATCAGGAGAAAATAATATTTGTGACAATTGTTTTGTACAATATCTTATTATACATCGCGTATGGAACTGAAAATATCTACTGAAAATATCTACTGAAAATATAGGATCCATATAGAAGATTCGTTTGTACGTTTAAAAAGAAAAATGCCATCTACGAGTCCTTAAAATATTCTTTAGAAGCGACTACGTCGGGTTTCATGGTCTTCTTGCCTGGTTTCCAACCAGCTGGGCATACTTCTCCATATTTATCCGTATATTGGAATGCTTGTACGAGACGCAGGGTTTCATCAACCGATCTAAAAATTTATATATCCGTATAATATATAATATGCATTATGTATATTACCATAAGTACATACATAAGTATATTATCATAAGTCAAAGAATTTAATACAAATCACGATAAAAAAAAAACCTATAAATCCTACTTGAAAATAAGAAAAACCTCGAATGATCATTTCTTTATCTTACAATAAGATAAAAAAAAAAGAAAAACAATTGTCCAAGTTTCGTAATAACATTCAACGCACATTTAAAACCTTTCAACAATTTTAGTTTACGGGTTTCTAACGATCCTTGTAAAAAAAATCTGTTAAAAAGAAATCGTTTAATTGCGTAACACTTTAGTTGCAATAACGCGATGCAAGAAGTGCAACAAGTAAAAGATAATTTTTAAGGTAACATATGTTAATTGCTGCTATTCTCTTATTGCATAAAACAAATAACAATTTGTTCATAAATTTTATAACATCGCTAACAACTAAGAGATTGAAAAACAAAAAGAATGACGAACACGAATCGTGTTTTTGATTACAACGTCAGAGTATACAATAGTACTTGAAGATTAGAAATGAATTTTACCTTCCAACCGGTAGATCGTTGACGGTGATTTGACGCAAATTTTGTTTATCGTCGATAATGAAAAGACCACGGAAGGGTATTCCGGTTTCTTCGTCGAGTACGCCATAATCGCGTGCAATCTTGCAACTTTTATCGGCAAGAAGTGGAATGTTCATTTCACCGATACCACCATCTTTGCGTGGGGTGTTGATCCATGCCAAATGAGTATAATGAGAATCGGTTGATGCTCCTATTACTTGACAATTAACGGCCTTAAATTCCTCAGCACGATCCGAAAATGCAATGATTTCGGTTGGGCATACGAAAGTACTATAATCGAACAAAATTCATTATTAATATTAACCCCTAATGTGTGTGTGTGTGTTCTTGATTATTTTAATTTTTCTAATGAAATAAATATACAGTAGAAGATTTATTTTTACGAAAAACATTAACGACTATCCGAAACAAAAGTTTCAAATAAAATGATAAGAAGCTTTCGATATTTCTAGTGTAAATAAAAATCGAATATCTGAAGATAATCGGACATGCAATGCGCTTATCTTTATAAAAAAAAGATACATTCATTCATTCTTAGATGATTAATCAGACTTCTGAGATTTCGTTATATAATTTCCAAGTTCTCTAGACTATTCGAAACGAATTCAAACAAACTACGATTATTATAATTACGTACAAGTCCAACGGATAGAAAAACAGTACGACGTATTGGCCCTTATAATCGGAAAGGGAGACGTTTTTGAATTGGCCATTCACAACGGCGGTTGTGCTAAATTGAGGTGCTGGTTTCTGAAGAGCCGGCATTATGGCTGATGTAATTCTATAAGGAAAATAGAAAAAAATAGATAAAACACATAATTAATAGGTTTTCGCGAAATGTGCACTAATGGGATTTAAATTTATTGTTAACGTGAATGCACACGAGGTTATTTCCTTCACTTTTTTTTATTTTTTTTTTATTCCTATCTATAATTCTAATCTTAAATCAATCCATTCGCTTGATACCTTTCCGGGTTTTTTTTTTTATTAAAATTTATAATTTACCTAAGCAAATATTTGATTACACGATCAGACTTAATATAATTAGTCATACTTGTACGTAACAACTGCTATTTCAATATAATTGTTAAGTATGCCGCAATAATGGGAATACTCTGAGTCATGGTAATGAGTCGGTAGAAAAAAATTAGACTTTTTTTTACAATGACCAAGACGAATTTGGCTATAATTGTTACCAGGCGTCTGCTTTCTTTTTTCAAAATAATTAGTTGATATTATCGCTGAGTTAAACTTGGATGTATGCACAGTGTAAAATAATATACATCTTATTAAGTCGGCGGTGTGCAATATAATCTAATAAATAATCAAAATTTTCTTTTTTAATTATAATAATTAATTAATAATAATACAAAAAATACATGTAGTTCTAAATTTGTTATTAAATAATTTTATATTTAAATTTATGTGTATGCGTGTATGAATAAAAACCAAAGGTTCAAATTTAAAGCAAAAAAAAAGCAACAAAGCCTAATCATTTGCAATTAAAGAGAAGAGTTCAAAAGATAAACGAGATAGTTAATAAACGATTGGTTTGATTTATCGCTTATTTAACTTTTTTTAGAAATGATATATATAAAAGAAAAAACAGTACATTAGGTTATTGACCTTCTACTTTCTCGTGTGCCAATGTTTAATAAATTTATAATGTATTTTATAATGTAACAATTGTAAATCGTTTAATACAAACGCATTATTCAAATAATAATTAATATGATCGTAATAATTGTTTATTTATCAAATAAATTGAAAGTAGAACGATTTAATGCATTTTCTTTCTACGCTTTAAAATATAATATATCTAACGGTTTCGTGCACGTCATGACCTCGAACAAAGAACGTTGAAAATATAATGGTTAAACATTTGAAATAATAAATTCTATTGTTTCTTTAATCTATGTAAATATTTGTAACGCGAAATTATAAAAAATATTATAATAATTCGGTGATAGATATTATATTGAATTTAATTACCTTGATTTCTAAGGACGAGAGAACGTAACTCGACAAACGCTAAACAGAGAAAGCGTAGATTCACACCGGTGACCGGTTTCATACGAAACCTATTCAGCAAATAACGCCTTATGAAGGGTAACCCACTGGGTGAGTTGTCATAAGCGATAACAGAGCTATCTGTGATATCAATTCGTCCAATTCTATTTTTCTAAATTTAACCAAACTATCTGTTTGATAAATTTAAAACTGTAAATTGAGCAGTTTCGGTAACACATACGATATATTTATTGTTATTTAAATGTCAAACTTTAAATATCTAGTCTAGTTTTTTAAAAATTAAATATGCCATCTTCTGGATAAATTTAAAATTATGAACTAACCAATCCCTGTTATTCTACATTTAACACAATTACTGTTACCCGGATTGGTTAGTCCGATTTTCTTGAGCACCACCTTGCGAATAAAGTTGGAACTATATTTTTAATCGATTCTATCGAGTTCTAGTTATGTCATACACGATGCAGCTGTCAGTCGCTATTATGAATGTGTTTATATTGGTTTGTGTTGGTAATTGAAATGTTTCAAAAAAAGAATAAAGTTTGAAGAATGTGTCAATCGATTACGTTTAATTAAAGGTAAGGATTGGTTTACTTGTTTTTTATTATTTGTTAGATATGTGCAATTAAGTTTTGATTATATACATATATTGAGATCATTACAATGAAATGGTGAAAAGCAATCCACAGAGCGAATCATTATTTCTCATATCGTTTTGTAATATTGGAGTTAATGTGTGGTCAGATAGAAATATTTTATCATTAACAGGTATAAAATAATATATATATATATATATATATATATATATATATATGTATATATGTATAATACCGCAAGGTATTTTTGTAACTTTGATAGATAATGAACAATTTAGGTTATTATTACATGGAATATCATGTATCATGCAATTATTACAACTATTATTTCTTTGACAACAATAATTTATATGATCAATATAACCTCAATTTTAGTTTACTTATGCGAATGATGATTATCGTGTAGGATGAATAAAATGAAATTTGTCTAATATTAATCTTCATTTTTGTATTTAGAATGTTAGGACTAGTTCAGTACGTTGTAGTAAGGGGAGACCTTTCCAAAGCGATGGGATGGCCAATGGGTGCTATAATAGCTCAAGCGTGTCACGCATGCACAGCTGTTACTCATCTATTTTACAACGATAGCAATACGCAATCTTACCTCGCAGATTTGGATTCAATGCATAAAGTTGTTCTTGAAGTAAGTTTATATATTTCTACATGTGTTGTAATTTATATCTCGAGATAATACGTATATTATTATTATTGTGCTCGTTTACTATATAATATAATTCTGTACATATATAAAATGATGAAAGAAATACAGTAAGCTTTGACAAAAATTTAATCCTAATTTTTATCTTAGGCATTCGACGAGGCCGATTTACATACTTTGTGTTCCAAACTGAAGGAGGACGACATCCATCACAAGCTGTGGATAGAACAGCCGGAGAACATTGCAACTTGTCTGGTAACAAAACCTTATCCTAAGAATGAAGTGCAATCGTATTTCAAAAAGTACAAATTGCTTAAGCTTTGATAATGACAATCATTGTAACCATTAATAATAAATATTTAATCGGTACAAAACTAAGTTTATATAATACACTGTCGTAGACTTATAAGCGATAATTAACAAAAGATTCTTATACTTCAAATAATGAAGAAAGAGATTAATTCTTGAATCTTCATCTTTTGAGTACGGATATTATATGTTCATATATTTATATATATATATATATATATATTTTTGTTTTATATTAGGTTGTTCGCTTGCTCATGCGAATCAAAGGAAGATCAAGACATTTCAAAGCGGACGGGTAAAATCGTAGTCCAATTAATATCCGCATTTATTGTTTATCTTCTTTATAGAAGCAGTCTGTTTTGTCTATTGACATCGAACGGAATTATAATTCGGACTACTACCACGCAAGAGCACGATTTATTCTTTTTTATAAATCTGCACAAATCTAGTTAACGATCGGCAGAATATATATTCCGAGATTACATATACACTTAATTTAATTTAATTTATTTCTTTTTTCTTTTCTTTTCTCTTCTTTTTGTTCTTTTTTTTATAATTAATCGCTAATATTGACAATGTGTACAGATAAACTCGTTCGTTTTTAAAACTAGCGCGACTATTAACTCTGGTCGACGATATAAAGCGGAGGCCGCACGGCGACTCTCGATTTGCACGACTATGATAATAAAATCCGTATAAAAATCTGACATAATCTCTTTTTTTTATCTTCTTTTTTTTCTTTCGTTTTTGTTTTTTCTTGTAGTATCAGGTCGGAAGAATCTTTCAATATAATTTCAAATTAATCGTATCCGCAGATGATATATAATTTATTTGATAAATCGATAATTAAACACGTCAATAATGATACGCAGGACATAGTTACGGGATTTTAAACGTACTTGTTACAAATAAAATGAACTTTCTTTTTTTTTTTCTGTTGTTTTTGGAAGTACCGCGTAGCCGATTGGATATGTGATTGCAGTATTAAAATTCTATTGCATATCCTTGAATGTATTTTCCTGGACACAATGGCAGGTATCAAGAAGGAAGTCTCTCGCATATCAAGAACGTATACACACATACAGAAATTACACGTAGGATAGCGAAGCCCTTTTTCGAAATACGACGATATATGTATGTATCGTAGCAAGAATATTTATTTTTTAATCCTGGCTATCTTTATTTACTGTTTATTTGTCCATCGAGAAAGAACAAAAAAACATAAATGAGCCTCTCTCTCTTTCTCTTGTACTCTGCACCGCATCACCGTATTCGATCGATTAATAATATGATACACTTTAGCAGAAGACAGAAGCCTAACACCAGGATCACGATCGCTCTTTCAATACTCTTTCTTCGTTGTAAGAAATTTTGGAATAAAGTTGTTGTTATTCTCGTTGTTGCATTTTAGCCTCTAAAAAAGGTGGCCTGACAAATTAAAATTAGATGAAAATTATTAGAGAAAGGTTAAAAAAAAGAGAGATCGTGTTAACCATCTTCTTCATCATCATCATCATCACCGTGGATCCTAATAGTAGCAGTAAACTAATTATTTATGTACACGCACTGCGGACGCTAGACACTTGTAAGTACACTTATTTACAAACACTCCTCTTCTCTGGCAAGATGATTAGTAGTTAGTGTAGTTTGCCGGAAAAAATATCTCTAAATTGAAATCGCGTCGAATTCGTAATACGGCGTGTGAGTCCATAGATTGCTTTTCCTCGGTGTGTACGTTTTAGCGACGCGGATATAATAAGATAGTCCTCGATGAAAATGCGCTACTTTTGGCAAACAATTTGTGTCACTGCCCTTCTTTCTCCTCTTTCTTCTCCTCCGCCAGCCATTGGCGCAGAATATTACTTCTTGGCTAAAAACAATCGAATACAATTCTAATTATATTTCACGACATTGCTTCCCTCATCGATTTTATTCGTTAATCTCGCCTGATTTATTATTATCATCAAGCAAACCTCGATTACGATCTTGTCATATTTAAAAAAAAAAGAAAAAGAAAATCCTCTATTTCGTATAAATAAAATAAAGGATTTTTTTGTTTATTTCGACGACATAAAACAATTATAAAAGCGACAGCCATTAAGAGACCAAGCTGATTGGATCTAAAAAGTAAATAACTGTGCAGGATTACTATCGAACAACTAAAGAAGAAGAAGAAGAAGCATCATCACGTTTAGGCAGCACAGCAGGCTCTTTCAGTGTATCTTTATTTTCTTATTATTCGATCGTAAAAAGGTTTCTAAATCCTCGTAGAAGCGTTTACCGTGAGGAAAAAAAAACGCCGCAAGCGAACTTAATCCCATGCAGCAGGAGGGATAAAATGTGCTATTGTGTGTCGGATATATCACACGGGAGTTTTGGGTTAAAGTATATGCGTGCATGGGTGGTGGGAGGAAGGGAAGGGCAAGAGGGAACGCTAAAGCCATAACGCATTTTAACTGAACCCGAACGACGGGATTTCTAGCTTCGGGCTAGACTCATGCAAACGACGTTAGTCTTTACTACAGGATTTGCAATTACCAGGACCACGTTAGTTTGGGAGAGCAGGGTGAGTCGTGTGATGAGGGTGTTGGTGATGGTGGTGGTTGTAGTGGTGGTGAGTAGGGCAGCGCACAATGAGCATTATGGCTCCGCTAAGTTCCCGTTGTGATCTGGATAATCGTCGTAGTCCTCTTCCGGCTCGTAATCCGTTTCCGCGGGTTCTGGTCCTTCGATCACTGGTGCCGACGTACTCGTCGTATCCTGCCGACCACACACACACACACACACGAGAATCCCAGCGTGCGTCAGACTTTTTCTTTCTTTCCAAAATACTATTCTAACTAATCTCTTTTCATTTTAGCCCGTTTTCAAAATCCTCATGTCTCCCCCATTTATTCATCTTGATCATAGGAAACAACTTACTATTTCACTATGTCGTGTGACACACGCACGATGGAATCTGAGAAAAGTTGTTCATCTTTTTGACGCGTCATATATCAAATTTATCTTACCATATTATTCAAAATGGTTTTATTAAATATCATCATGTTATTTTACATAAGTCGGAGATTAAGCGTCAAATCTTGACAGTAATATCTATTTGTAAATCTAGATCTTTTGAAATAGATAAAATTCGAGATTCATTCCATCGTACGATGATGACACGGATGAAGAAGGGAACAACGATTTTCGAAAGTTAAATTTAAGGACCTTGAGGATGGGGAATTCTTTCGTAATGTTAGGTTTTTAATATCATCGTTAGTCAGGTAAATTCCTGTAACGTACCTGAGGTGGTCTCCAGCCGCAACCAGGTAATGGAAGGCCGTCAGGACCGAGGGGACAGGGCGCGTCTAGTCCGGGTACACCCTGATCACCTTTGTTACCCTTGTCTCCTTTTCTTCCTCTCTTACCAGGTGGTCCCTGTGCGAATATACAAAATCGCGTCACCCTTTTTCCTTTTGTCTTCTCGTTTATCGCTATTGTGCATTTAGTAGTTGCTCGACGCAACGACTAAATCGCCGTTTTTATTTCGCGACGTGCAAGAAAGGCCAGGCATGAGAAAAACAACAACTTTCTATGTATATGCATTATAATACTGAGTATCTTGTGCACAATACGCCGAAGAGTAACGAAAGGCGAACGAACATAAATACGAATTATATTAATTGATTTTTTTTTTCTTTCTTTTATTTCATCGAAAATATTATTCTTTTTTTCTCCGCGTACTCGGAGAGAAATGCATTGATTTCTTTTTTTTTTCTTTTTCTTTTGTAAATCACCAGATATTACAAATAAACATTTTTTTATCGTCCGCCCTTCGCTCCTTGGATTATATTAATCGATGTTTGATCCTTATAGATCACATTGATCGGCTTGAGATTATATTTTCTATTCGAGTTAGCGCAGAACGCTGGTGGCAGCATACAAAAAAAAAGGGGGTATAGGAATAATTATATTCAATATATTTTATCCATGGATTTCGATATCCTCGAGTCTCTGTGCAAAAAGTTTCATATTTTTAATTCCTTCATTTTCAAACAATTTCAATCTTTTTTTTTTTCTTTATATAAGTAGTAAATAAAAAGTCAAGAAACAAATTCAATGTTTATGCGCGAACGTGTGGTCGATACGTTATACGTTTTGCACTGATCGTTCATAATTGCATTGCTATCTTCAAATTGATTTGTTAATGATTCATTTCGTTTCATTTCATGTTTTTTTACTTTTTTCCCCCTCTCCCAATTCCTCCTTCTCTCGATAATGTACGAGCTCACCGAGTTCGTTAATTTCACACGTGATTTATTCTATGCGTGAAGTTCCCATGAGCGTCGTCGAATTATCGCCGGCTATTTAAGAAAGAAAAAAGAAACCAAGGAAAGGAACAAAAAAGACGAAAACCCAAAAAAAAGCAAAAAAAAAAAAAGAGAGAAAAAAAGAAGAAATAATCGAACTTAACAATAATTCGATACTCACACAATCACCTTTAGCACCTTTCTCACCCTTCGGTCCCTGAAAGTGGTATGTTAAGAAGATTAAGTAAACAGATTAACGTTCGTTATGCTTCTAGTCTACGTTCGCGACTTGTTAGTTCGTTTTTAGGAGCTAAATTTTTTCAACCTTTGGAGTTTACATCCTCTTGAGTACTTTAAGCGCGTAAAACTAGCGCCAAATGACTTTTCTCGCTCCCCTTTTTTTTCTTTTCCTTTTTTTTTTTTTATATATATATTTTTATTTTATATTTTTTTATTTTTCTTTTTTTCTTGTTTTTCCTTCCCACTCTCTTCTTCTCCTCTCCTCCTTCGTCGAAACGACGATAATCAAATCACGACTTTTCTCCCGTTTGTTCGGTACGAGAAAAAAAGAACCCACACACATAAATTGCAAAAGAAACAAAAATCGAGAAAAGATATAAATCGTAACGAAAAAATGTTCTTAATTAAATTTCTCCTCGTCGTATTTTGTGCAACGCAAAATTATATAAAACGATAACTCGAGACAGTCGATCCAGGGAGGAAGTTAAGGGTGATCGAGGGGAGGGGAGTACTGGCTGAGGTTTTGACAGGAGGGTTGGGGGTGTGCTTAGATCATGTTAGGGGTATATCCCTTCGTTACTTTCCCCCTTCCCTCCCCGGTCTAGACTGTATCGTGATTACATCGAGCAGCGGGGTAAAGGTGATAATTGAGAAGAGTCACTGTACCTCCGTTCCTGGAATCCCATCGGTACCCTGGGGAAAAATAAATCGTCTCGTTAGTTTCACCTTCCACGTGCTTCCCTTCATAATTCTGATAGCCGACACCGGATGGTTAGAATATGGAAATACGTTAACAAGAGAAAATTTTGCTTTTCTCTCTCTTTTTCTTTCACTCTCTCTCTCTCTTTCTCTTTCACTCTCTCTCTCTCTTTCTCTTTCACTCTCTCTCTCTCTCTCGCTCTCTCTCTCTCTCTCTCTAAATTTTTGGTTGTTTTTTTTTTGCAACCAGGTTTTAGAGTTTCACGCGTTTTGTGCGTTAATAATAATCATCGTGCTCGTTGAATTAGCATAAAAAAAACACATAGTTTTTCATTCGAAATCGATGACAAAATTGTACTTACGGGTAATCCTGGATCTCCCCTTTCACCTTTCGTACCAGGTTCTCCTTGTGCTCCCTGCAATTACCAGAAGAAATTCTAACAAACCACCGCGAACCCGACTTAAAATCTCGCGAATTCTTTTCTTTCTTCCACCCCCCCCCTCCGCCTTAAACAAAATATATTCCTTTTTGATTTTGTACGATTTTTTGTCTCTTTTTTTTTTCATTCAATTCGATTTAATCCGACTAGGAGAAAGTGAAATCGGAGACTGACGCACAAAAATAACATGATATTTGGCTTTTTCTTTTTTCTTTTCTTACGAAGAAAAATTTGCGATTCTCTTATATTTTTTTTTCTCTAACGATTAGCCCAACGGGGTTGCTCACCTTCATGCCGTCTAGTCCTGAGGGTCCCTGAAAGGTACAGAGAAAAGTTTGTCAGATTCGTCGTAGAAGTCTGACACCGTGTCATAGATTCGACGACAAACTTCGTGCATTTTTGTCTGTTTTTTTTTTTTTTTTTTTTTTTTTTTGAAAAAAACGAATAGAAAGTTTGGATATATATTTTCTGTTTTTCTTTTTTTAAGATACGACTCCTTTTGCAATCTGCCGAGCTAATATTTCTTCGTTCTTATGTAAATAGCTTGGCAGAGAACAACAACCTGCGAAAATCGAAGGAACGAAGGAGAAGGTAACAAAAAAAATGGTTCAATTAAAAAAGAAAAAATAATATTTAAAGAGGAAAGAATTAAAAAAAAAAAAAAACACGATGATAATACCAGATCGTAAAAAGAAAATAAAACAAAAAGATACCCTCGCTGTGATATAATAATATATTATTTTTCGTTCTTATCTCCTTTTATTTTTTTTTTTTTTACTTTCGGTGACTTCGACCGAAACAAATTTCTATCGGCAAAATCCCTATTATTTATTTTTCCAATATTCAGTAATTATAGTCAACCGATAACGTAACAAACTGCGGGGGTATGTCCTGTTACATTATCGTCGTGGTCGCAGCAAATTGACATGTGTTAATTTATATTCTTATTCTCAATCCCCATTCGACATTTAGACACTTACTTTTCTTTTTATTTATTAGAAATAAAATTTAGAAAAAAAAAAGAAAAAAAAAACAAACAAAAAGATAGAAAAGACATGAGAGAAAGAAAGCTAACCGAATGAAATAGAAATAGAGAAGAAAGATCGTGAATAATATAAAAAGAGAAAGATAGATAGAGAGAGAGAGAGAGAGAGAAAGAGAGAGAGAGAGAGAGAGAGAGAGAGAAAGATAAAGAGAAAGATAAAGATAAAGATAAAGATAAAGATAAAGATAATTCGTATTTCAATCGAAACAAAATGCAAAGCGATATAATCAACTACGAAAAAAAAATAAGGTGTGGTTTTTTCGTGGGGTGGGGGGTTGAATAATATGTTCGAAGCGTTAATAACGAGGTGTGGGCACCGTGTATAAAGCAAAAGGACACAGGCACATGCACATTCTGTTTATTAATCGGGACATTGTAAAACAAAACTTGTTAGATTTCAATTATTCACATACGCAAGTTACGCCGTCACTTTTTTTTTCTATATACCCTTTCTTTATGTTAATTCAAATCGTAATCGTAATCGTAACCGTTGTTGACGGTTGTTATTGTTGTTGTTTGTTAGTTTTTCTCCCCTTTATCAATTTGTTTTTTTTCCATTCTTTCTATTTTTTCTTTTCTAGCGCCGCCTTTACAATTAACACATACGCAGGATAATTCTAAATTTTACGCTCGCATATATGTATGTCGGATACACGCGAGTGTATATACACATACATATATATATATAATAATAATATATATATATATATTTTTTTTTTTTCTCTATATATATTTATATATGTATATTCTTATTGTATTTACATTTACAGACATACACATACAAAAGAAAGAAAAATATATATACACGTCTCTTACTGTGTGTATGTATGTATATGCACGCGTATACACGAGCTTTTACACGCATTTACGATTATTAAACCACCAAGGAGAACATGTTTTTTTCTTTTTTTTTTTTATTTCTTCCCTCTCTTTGTCATTTGTTTTCTTCTTCTTCTCCGATTTTTTTCTTTTCTATTATATTATTTTTTTTTTGGTCTTTTTTCTGTTCATTTTCAATTCGATAATTGCGCTCGCTTGCGCCGCATTAGTTTCACTTAAAAACTAAAAATAAACGCTGTTGCTGCTGCGATTTATGCATGATCGATCATCTTACATGCTACTCCTCGTAAAGAAAATTAGAAAAACGAAATTGTACCGTTTGTAATAGTCGTCGTTATCGTTGTCGTTGTTGTGTTGCAGTTGTTGCTGTTGCTGTTGCAGTTGTGTTGTTGCAGTTGGTTGTTGTCGTCGCCGTCGTAGTTGTGTTGTTGTTAAGAAAATACAACATCATTTTATTCGGTTATTTCGTTTTCTTCATTTCTTTTTCCTATTCTACACTGTACAATCCCGCTTAAAACTTTTGTACTACTTAAAAACCCAGACGCAACCCTGACGCAACCCTGACGCAACGTTTGTTGGATTTTTAATTGTTTCTTCGTTTGTACGTCACTTTATATTAACAATGACTGGGATCGCGTGCCCACATATATTATTTTTCATTTCGCGATCATAATTTCGCTTACACGTTTAATATGTCTCCTTTCGTTCGATCATAGGTTTATAATTACAATAATAATAACAATTATTATTATTTATTAGGCCTTTTTATATTATTATTAATTATAATTATTAATTTATTTCTTTTTTCCTCTTTTTCCTTCTTTCCTCCAAGTAGCCTCGGACATTGTTTTTTTTTTATTTTATATATAGATCGGATGAAAGAAGCTGTTTGATTTTTATGTGTGTTGGAAATATATATATTAACGCGATCAAAATTTGTATTTGTTTTTAATTATAGTTTTTGTGCGATCCCTTTGGATTTGGTGAGTGGTGTTGGTGGTGATTGTATCAACCTAGCTCTAGGCATCATCATCATCATCATCATCATCATTTCACGTTCTCATAAATAAGTTAAGAACGTTTATTATGCAATAATAAATTGCTTTTCCTCTCGGGCACGTACCTTTTCTCGTTTATGACATACGCAAGTGGAATGCCGCGTGAGAAACGCGGAGAAGTGGAAAAGGTAGAGAGGGGTTGCTGCCAGAAGGTTGGGGGAAGGAAATCGTTATGAATGGCTGGATTACAGTTGCGTGCAGGGAATTTTATCGGTTAGTTCTTGTTAAGTACAAAGTACGTAAGTTGCGATTGTAATCGCTCGCTTCGGTCCGCTAAAGATCGTTGTTGTGTCTGAAAATAATACTGGTCGTAAAGGGAGACGACAAGAGGAAAGAAAAGAACAAAATATATATATATTTATATATATATATATGTATATGTGTGAAAGGAGAAAGAAATAAAAGATGGGACGAGAAACAACGGCGGTTGGGTTGCTTTCCTCCCGTCCTTTTTTTACCCTACGTATTTTTATCGAAAAATTTAAAAAAAACAGCAACAACAAAAATTGGATTTGGAACGAACTGTCTATCTTATTTTTTTTTTCTTTTTATGAGGCAATTTCTAAATGAACAAAATCGAACGATCAATTTTTATTTTAAGTAAAATTATATGTCGTACAAATGATTTATTGACTTTGTTGCTTGTTAGTATTGTTAGTATTATTTGTATCGTAAAATACTTTTTCTTGGTGTCTCATTAATTTCGAATACGAAAGAAAGAAAGAACGCGCGGCATATTGTAAAATATTAAATACTCGTTATGAGAGAACAAAGAGGAGCTAAACGAAACCGAGTGGCAAATTTAATTAAAGTAGATCTAAAGTTACTAAAAAAAAGCGGGGATCGCGCAATTGCGGGATAAGTTATTTCCGAGAGATTTTTCCTCTACGATTTATTATTAAAAATCTTGTTTTTTAAGAAACTAAACGTATTAAATAGATTGCGTTTTGACGAGAAAAAAAATACAAAAGAACAAAGAGAAATAAATACGAATATAAGAAATAAACTAATTTAAACGAAACCTACGAATATATACGTGTACGTATAATCTGGTGTGTATGCAATTCGTAGGACGGACAAAAAAGTTGTGTGCGTGTGTGTAAAACGAATGACCGAAAAATTGTCACCCAACAATCGAGACAAACGTATGTATATGCGTGTGCGTGCGTGTAAATATATTTGCGTATGTATGTTTATTTTATTGTATTCGTTAAGTACGTAGACATATCTATAAAATTGGAACATTTTCAAAATCGTCATACGTTTTTTTTTTTTTTATTGGAAGACCAAATAATAGCCATCCTCGTTTTAATAATAATAATAATTCAACCAACATCGACAATAAATTTGATCGATCAAAGTACGGACGACACCACGTACATTGGCACGATTAAAACGGGGAATTCTGCCATAGTTGGTGATTTAGTATATGTAATATACTTTCAATGTATATTATATATACGTATAATATCTACTAGGAAAGTGCATTTCCTACGTGGTAATGCATCTTTCTCTCTCCGAATTGTTCTTCCTTTATTGAATGGAAGGAACAACACCTCGAAAATGGAAATTGTCAGGTTGGCGTTTGCGTGTTTTGATATCGAACGACTTTGGGGGGCGAGTGGTTGGTGATGGTGGTGGTGGTGGTTGCCAAACAAGTCTTATCCATTAATATTAGCGATATGGCTCTGTTGATGTGCGCGCTCATTCTCTCGCAAGAAACATTCTATCCACATATACATAATAAACATATAAATATGTGTGTGTGTTTCTCTATGTGTACGTATACGTGTACGTGTACGTGTATATATGATGTGTATATGTGTATAGAATTCGAAGGAAACGATTTCGATGACCTCACTCGAGTACTTCCGTTTCGTCACGTTAATTCTCGTCGTCATCGGCAAAACCCTAGTAGATCTTACTCAACCCTTTTTTCCCCTTCTTTTGTGTACAACATCAAAGGCAAAAATGACAAGAAGAAGAAGAAGAAGAAGAAGAAGAAGAAGAAGTAGAAGAAGTAGAAGGTTCGATTTATGTGAATGGATAGGAGCAACTCGAGGGGGTACGACGATACCTCGTAAGTTCGTAGTAAAAGGAGTTCACCAATTATTATCGATATACTTTTATATATATATATTTTCTTTTTTTATCTTTTTCTTTTTCACTTTATAGATCTATTTTGCATGAAGCAACAACGTAAGTAATGTGTGATGTTGCTCCTCCTCCTCCTCGACAAATTTTTTTTCAAATTTTTCTATCCCTTGTTTTCTCCTTTGTCGTCGTTAGTAGTTAGTTAATTGGTTAATGAATTTTTTTTCCTGTCTCTTTTCTTTTCCTGGTTGTTTCGTCCTGGTATCTCATATTTTTTATCCCTTCTCTTTGACATATTTTTTTTAATTCTCTTTTTACTTTCTTTCTTTCATTCTTTCTTTCTTTAGAGATGGAGAGAGAGAGAGAGAGAGAGAGAGATAAAAAAAAGAGAGAGAGAGAGAGAGAGAGAGAACGTAAGAAAGTGAGTGACAGAGAAGAGAGAGAAAGAGCGAGAGAGAGAGAGAGAGAGAGAAGAATCAGACACAATACTCTCTCTCTTTCTCTCTCTCTTTTTTGAATTTTCCTATAAAGGATTCACAGGCGAGGCCAATTAACGATGACCGATTAGGAGCGAGACGTCCGCGTTCTTACCATGGCGCCAGGTTTCCCGGAATCTCCGGGCTTTCCGGACTCTCCTCTCAGTCCCATGGGGCCCTGCAAATAAAGAGACTCGCATGACGGTGATGTTTCTGGATAAATCGAACGACAATGTTACCCCGACCGTCGTCCTTCTACCTTTACGTCAGACTGACAGACAACAGAAACAGAAATAGAAATGGAAGAGAAGGATAAAGAAAATAGGAAACAATGGAATGCAATCATGTAAAGAAAAGGGATAGAAAGATAGATAGATAGATAGAATGAGAGAGAATGAGAATAAGAAAATATCGTATCTCGCCTATCCTATTTCTCTCATGTATTATTTATCATGCATTATACGATCTCTACACCTTTTCCTATATACCAATGGGTAGTACCTAAAGTATATTATTATATACCTCTTTTTCCGTGTAAACTTCCTTCGGCCAACATAAAATCCAATCGTTAATAATACCATCGGGTGGTATTACCTGACTAACGACTGCATTAGCAAAGATCGAAGTCAACCCTCCCTCCTACTTTTTACCACAATCCCATTTCGATACATTTCTCCTTTTTTTTCTTTCCTTCCTTTTTCTCTTTTTGGCTTCCTTTTTTTTTCTTTTCTCTCTCTCGATCCTTTCTCTCAAGAATTTCCACAAGATTAAGTTTCTTAAGCAGAAGAAGAAGAAGAAGAAGAAGAAAAAGAAGGACGAGGAGAATCTATTTTCTTTTCGTGACCGTTGGAGTTTGAAAATCTTTTCGTGTCGTGTCCACTTCATCCTCTAACTTGGGTCCCTTCGCTTTTTCTTTTTTTTTTTTTTTATTGCTTTTTTTTATGTATATATATAACGCGATAGAGTAAAAACCTACCTAAGCTAGGGACATAATCTTGAGAGAAAATACGTACGGGTAATCCCATCGGACCAGGATCTCCTTTGGCACCTTTCTCTCCCTGCAATAGGAGAAAAAAAAAGAAAAAAGCGTGAGAATCATCGAATAGAATACTTGTGTTACTACTTTTGATTTTTTCTCTTCTTTCGTTTACGTTTCGTTTCGTTCTTTTTTCTTTGAACCGATTTTTGCTAATAAAAATGATAAAAAAAAAAAAAACAACCCACAAGATTTGATTCCTTTTTTTCAAAAAGTTAAAAGTACTTTTAAGAAAATTCGAATCCTTAAATTGTATTATATACGTTAAAACTTGAAATAAAGCTCGTGAACTTTGTGAGAAATACTCTATTCGGTTCTCCTCTCTAAAGAGAAAACTCTGGAGGCTTTAAAAATGTTGACAAGTTTACTGACAGGATCACCCTTGGCGCCGTCGTGCCCTCTGTCTCCCTTGATACCAGGTGGACCTTGCAATCCAGGAGTACCGGCTGGTCCAGGTGGTCCGGGGGGTCCCATAATCTATCAATTACGTTTACAAAAGATATATATCAAATTGATATTACTTACACGGTATTTTTCTTATGATTCAACACATTTTTGATTATAATATTTTCTTTCTTAAATGAAGAATTTAACAGAAAAAAATCTCTAGAACAATTTACTTTTCCATTTTTTTCCAGATTATGTTAATTAAAAAGAGACATTTAAAAGAAAAACAAACAAATGGAGGAGAATAAAAATATAAAATGGGGTTTACCACTTCGCCCGCGTTGACTTCGAATGTGCCGTCACCCTGTAAAAAAAAAAAGATAAAAAGAAAGGAAGACGTTTGAAGGTATTTAAATCGTTTCGACGAGTCTCTCGATAAAGATTAATGCTCGGAAGGATAGAAGACGAGAAGGATAAGAACGTTGGATGATATCGGATGGCCGATCGTTCTAAGATCGTTTGCGTTGGGGTTTTTTTTCGCGTTAGATCGTAAGTAGAAAAGGAAAAAAAGGAAGAAGAAGAGGGGAAGACGAATAGGGCTGTCTACTTTTTCACGTACCTGCCTTCTTCTCAACTTTTTGTACTTCTGTCGGTGGAAGAGAAGCCCGCCGATGTCCCGCCATGAAAAGAAATTTATTTTATCGTCAGATCGTTGGAAAACGGGGCGGGGAGGAGTGGTGGTGGTCGTTCGAGAACAGGCTTGTGGGGTGAGTACGGAAAACTCACTTTTAGCCATCGCCGATCGATAAAATAAGATCGATCAGGATAACCAACAAACCTATCATCATCTCTCTCAACGACATTTATAATAAATATAATAATAATAATAATATGCGTGTGTGTGTTGAAATCATCAACTCACCGATTCGCCCTTTTCACCCTTGTCTCCCTTCAACCCTGGATAACCCTGTTCATCGAGAAATAGAAAAAGAAAGAGAGAGAACGTTTACGATATTACGTTAACGACATAGATTTTCGATTATCATTTATGCGTAAATGAATACATAGAAATACTAAAGTAATACGTATAAATATGTTGAAATAAAACAATAGTTTGATTTACGTACCGGTGGACCAGGCAAACCTGGAGGTCCCATGAGCCCAGGTGGTCCGATATCACCGTACTCGCCTTTCTCACCTTTGGGTCCGGATAGGCCCTGTAAATCAGAGACAAACGAGATCGTTTTACCTGTAGTAAATCACTTGTCACCGGCGTACATATGATAACGCTTACGAGACATTATACGTCTGCTACCGGATAACGCATGAGATGCGAGATAAAGTTCCGTAAAGATACTCCTCGCAAAAGTCGGATAACGCTATAGTTGTTTATATATTTTCTTTAGTTGTCGTAAAAATGTTTCTCTTATCTATCTTGAAAATTGTTACAAATATAAGTACACGAACGTGAACCGAAAGCAAATATTTATTTATGCGCGTTTATGCAGCCCCTGCATTTTTACAAATGTTATTTTCTGCATGACGTTTGAAAGCTTCATCATCATTTTTTGCTTTCGTGTTTTATTTTTTTTTTTATTTATCTTTATACACATATAAATGAGGATAAATTCGTATGAGGATTTTTCCGACAAACTTTGCGTATACAAAAAATTCGTGTTATTTATGTTTGAAATTTGTATTAGGATTAAACAAAAACAAAAAAAACAAAGGAGAGAATCAGGAATAAAATTGGAATGGAATTCACGTACCGGTAATCCTGGCGGACCTTGTATACCAGCTTCCCCGTCGGTTCCATTAAATCCTGGTGGACCCTGAGATCCTTGTTCACCTTTAGGTCCTAAAAGCAAAGAGTAATCGTTCAATCGGTGAACCGCTCAACATCCCAAGATCAGATTAAATCGCGCCGCGATTAATGGACGACGCAGAGAGAGATCCGGGGTGGGGGGAGATGGGGGTGGCTATATGTACGCGTCCGTACATTTCTCGCACTTTTTTTCTCCCAACCACCGTTAATAATAGATCACAAAAATGATCTATTCCCTTTTGCAAAATCAATATTTTACGATTCCAAATATATATTACTATAAATTTCTTCTTTTCCCTTTTTTCTTTTTTCCTCTTCTACCCTCCTCCCCTGTCCTATTGCAGAGACTTTCCGAAGAACTTCCTGTCAATTAATTATGATTTAAAGAGGGAGACGCGCGATGAAAAATAACAGAAGAAAATACTCTTCTCCAAGAGTTTATGAAATTACTTTTACGACGATGAAATAAAATAAAAATAAAAAGAAGAAGAAGAAAAAGAGAAGAAAAAGAAAATAGGAAGAAGAGAATATCTTCAGAAAGATAAATAATAACCGAGGAAATTAATGAGAATAAAAAAGGGGGTAGAGGGGAAAAAAAACAAAAGTGATATGAATGATATCTCGCTTATAAGATTTTCAAATTATATAAAGGAAGTAATATAACTGATTTACTGTGTCGGAATAAAAGACGAAAGAATAAAATCAACGCATTTATATCTATAATTTATTTCCGATAAGACGAAAGGTTTATAAGGGGGTTGGGGTTTCAGGGATATAATATAATTCTCTCTGGTGGGCATTACTTTTCGTAACATTTTATTTTTCGTATTTTTTTGTTTTTGTTTTCGTCATATATTTCCCCGAAATTTCGTCTTTGTTTTTTCGGTAGAATGGCCACGTTGTAATCTACCTGCCGAGCCCTGGACTCCCTTGGCGCCCTTTTCGCCTCGGTAACCCCTTTCACCCTTTGGACCCAGTGGGCCGGGCGGACCCCTCGCCAATGTAATACCGCTCTCACCCTTGAAACCCTATAATAATGATACTGCAAGGTCAGATCCAACCAGGTCCTCCGTTATAATCTTTAATGTCGATTTATTTTTTTTATTTACTGCGAAGCGTTGTTAAAACACTCTCTCCTTTTCATTTTTTGTTTTTGTTTTTTTCTTTTTATAATTGTTTTAATTTCTATCTTTGTTTTTTTTTTTCATTTGAAAGAGGAAGGTTCAGAGGATGGGATGGAATCATCTCGATACTACACGAACAACAAAATCAGTCGATCGATTTTGGTTTGGATATTATAATTGAATGCTGTTATTGTTTTATTCGGATTGATGAAATTAGTATTTATTGTTAAACGGGGGACTACCAAAATCGTTCGATCATTTGACATAATTATTCAAAACTACTACCAACTAACGATAACACGTAATCTACGATACAATACAAAAACAAGTTTATTAAGGTACGTAGACAACGAAAATATTCCTATTAACACCCCCATGCGTTTCGAGTTTAGGATATGTTTATTAGTGGGTAGAAATTTAGTACAAAAATTAGGGTTTAGCATAATTTTCTTTCTCTCTCTCTCTCTCTCTCTCTCTCTCTCTCTCTCTCTCTCTCCCTCTCATCTTTACATTATATCTGATATACATTAATTTGAATAGAATAATTTCTAAATTACATAGTCAATGTAGTGATTCGAGAGAAAGCTGAAATAATAATCAAGCGTATTTCTGTCCTAGTTCTCATTTCGATAATATATTATAACGATTCGTTATATCACGTTTGTTAGAATAATAAATGTTAAAAATATTTTCGACGCGATTTATTATAAGTATTATATTATATTTAAAATGAAAATATATAATAAAGATATCGGGATTAGATAGAAGAAACATTGAAATGAGCGGGTTTGTAAGAAAAATAGAGAGAAAGGTAGATAGAAAAAGAGAGAGAGAGAGAGAGAGAGAGAGAGAGAGAGAGAAAGTCCCAAATGAAAGATCGAGTGACAAAGTTGATAGAAAAAGAAACAAATAAAAAAAAGATATTAAAATATTATTAATATTATTTAAACAACTACAACAACAACAACAACGTGTGCGTTTGTGTAATATATTGTTATAATATACGTACACTATATAATATATAAGCTACACATACTGTCTTCGTGAGTTTCAATACTTACACGAAATTCGCAGATATATCGCTAACTCGCCGCTCGATAATGTTGCGACAGCCTCAAGCCGTAGTAGCAGTAGTAGTAGAGTAGTAGTAGAGTAGTAGTAGAGTAGTAATGTAGTAGTAGTAGTAGTGGTAGAAGTAGTAGTAGTAGTAGATATTAGTGATTAGTGAATCAAAACCGACATACGGGGGGAGAAGTAGTGGGTGTTACTAGCTACGTAAACACAAATTAGTTACACAAGCTACGTACAACAACTACGCCAACAACAACAACAACAATAACAAAAACTACTATAATATTATAATAATTATTTTGTAAAAAGTAATTAACGCGATATAATATAAGTTAAAGAAGATTCAATGTTTAATTCGGTGCCAATCGACCGACTTGTCAAGCATTACTACTTTTCCTTTCGCTATTTATTTCTTATTTCTTTTATTCAAAGAAAAAGGACCCCTTTTAACGCGTAATTAAAACCGAACTCTATCATCTCTTTGATTACGCCAGATCTTTGTAAATCGAAACCGACTAAAAGAACGATCATGAGAAACGAGATCTCGGTTGGGGGAAAAAAAAGCGGGTCAAGGACATCTCGATTATACTTAAAAGCTTGATAATTATTACACGAAAACGAGCGTTTCCTTTCCTTTATTTTTTTTCTTTCGACGGATTTCTCCTCCTTTTACACGAAAGAACAAAGTTCACTCGTGCGAGTTCACTCTGTTTCACGGAAATAAAAATCTTAGCGAAAGAAAATGTGGTATGTGACAAATTGATATCGTATTAATGAAATAATTACAGGTATTTCTCGTATTTTGTTTTATTTTCGAGAGGACTTTTCTATGAGGATAAATACTTACGGGTTGTTAGACATTAACAGCGTATGGAGCCGCTCTAAACGGTAGCGCGTGAGTCGAGTAGCTCTTACTTAGGCGTGGTTACAGGGTTTTAGTGCGCAGGTGTGTAATTTGGCTGCATCCGCTAGAAGAGAATTAGTGTTGCCCTTGGTAGCCAAGGTGTAGCTATATATATACATATATATGATGTATTTATATATATATAAAATAAATATATATAGATAGATATATATATAGATATAGATATATAGGATATATATATAAATATGTTTGAAACAAAGACACAACCGTCGAATAAAAAATATCCTAAAATTGTCGTCGTCGTTGTCTTCTTCGTATTATTTTGTCAACGTCGTCTTTGTATTTGTCGTCGTCGTCTTTGTCGTTGTTGTCTTTCAAGATGAAACGACACGGTAGGAGTAAAACCAAAGAGTGAGACCCGAGGAACTCTCGAGAACCCAATAATATATTATATATATATATACATGTATATATACGATACCTGTACATATACACATGTACGAACGTGTTATTTGCTGCCACCAACGTCTTTTTTCTTTGCTCTTTTCTCTTATAACTCCTCCCCAACCCCTAATTTTACTTTTTTTCCTTTTCCTTCCTTCATTATCGCTTTCCGTCACACTCTTATTTTAGTCTCTTATTTATCCATATACTTTCTTTCATTTTATACACATTATTTTTCTTTTTTTTATCGTATCTTATATTATATTATATTTCGTTTGATTTTTGATCATATTAATTTTATATATTACTTTCTTTTTTCCATTTAGGGTTTTATATAATATTTTATACAATTATTCTATGTATACGAATCGACGTTTTGTTTGATCGTACGTTTCGCGGTATTTGTTTTTCGTGTATGCATATATTTATATATCGTATGAAGATGCCCGAAGATCTGGACGAACGAGAAGAAGAACGAGATACGCGGAAGAAAATCATAAGATTTGAAAAATTAGTTTACTTAGAAAATATTATATCATATATTATTTGCAAATAGGCGACTGCGAGACGACGACGACGAGATTTCAACTATAGCAAACGAAAAACTACGACGAATAAATATTTGTATGCTCGTATATTTTATCTATATATATATATATATATAGAGAGAGAGAGAGATAAAAATATAGAAAATTCGTCAAATTGGATACGTTATCTTTCGCCGGTAAAATTGACCTCGCAAAGTTCAAAATATATTCTATTTCCGTCGTTAGAAACGTTCCAGTTAAAAAGAGAGAGAGAAAGTTCACGAAATTTTCTATTTCCGTCGACTTACAGAGTATTTATGTATTTGTATGTTCGTTCGAAGTAAAACGGTCCAATCATTTTTCCTACGAATTTTCATACGAATTTATACGTTTTTTATCGCGAAAAATTCTGAAGAAATTGCTTCAAAACATACGGCAAACGAGGTTTTACAATTAACACGCAACACTGTTTCAAACAGACCAATCGAAATCAATTAATCCCGTCGCGGACGCGTATATTTCTCTCTTTCTCTCTCTCTCTTTCTCTCTCGTATTTACATCGAATTATATTACTGTCCTTTGTAGTAATCAATACACACGTAAACCACGGTAATTAAATAATCACTGAGCTATGAATCGAGGATATATTCGCCGATGTGTTGAAGAGCTCGTTGTAATAGGATGAGACAATAATCGATAAAATATATCGTACAGATTACGATGTTATTTAACGTTAACTCTATTAAATAGATTACAATCTTGACAAACGTATTTAAACGTTCGAAAATAATAATAATAATAATAATAATAATAATAATAATACAAGAATATTATTTAATAATTCAAATGATCGGCGAAAGATATTTATGAAAAAAAAAAAATGCCTCGTATTATAATGATTTGATTTTCACAATTGTGTAAACGGACGCAAAATGGGAAAGGAACATAAAAAGAAAACAATGTCTCTCAGTCGTCGAAATAATCAATTTCACGTTTGTTCGTTCGTTCGTCGATCGTCCAGATGTGACTCAAAAAAAGATAAAAAATAATCTTTCAGAGTGCACAAAGATCCTTCTTCTCGTTTATCGAAAAAAAATGCAAAGTGACGTGTGGTCGTGCGTTATAATTCTCGTGTCATGCGCTCATGTTATTGCGTGCTTGCCCGGTGTTTCTTTTCTTCGAATAAAAAACAAAAAGAAAAGAAAACAAAACAAAAAATTAACAAAATAAAGGAATAATAAAAGCCATGCGTAATGCTTACGTGCTAGTCGTAGGAAATAGAGAAGAAAATGTAAATAGATGAGAAAGTATAAAATGAAAATTAAAGTTTTGAACGAATAAAGTTGGAAAATGTTCGATGGATGGTAGTTTTCCGATTGGAATATATATATATATCCATCGGTATAGTATCTCGACTAGGAAGAAAAAAATATCTGACGGACGGATGGGGGGTATGAAAAGGCATTAGAAAAACGTTCTTGACATGTTCCCCGAGTCGCATCCGTGTCGTCACGTTCTTTTGCTACGACTACGACTCGTGAAAAATGTATGTGAAGGAACGCGATCGGTCAAGTAGTATTAAAAAGAAGAGAAGAGAAAAGAAGTGACGTGAAGAAAAGAGAAACGAAGGGGGAAAAGGAATAGTGTGAACGTACTGTGCGAAGTCGACAGATTCGACGGATATATTCTAACGGGAAGGGCTAGATCGTAGATATCTCTGTAGAATACGATAGCAAGATGGATGGATGGGTAGATGGATGGAAGGATGGATAGGAAGAACGACGACTATGTTGGAGAAAATTTGAACAATGTACAAGGTACTCGAATGAGTGAGGGAGAAAGAGGGAGAGGGGGGTTATGGGGGCGGTGGGGGGTTAGTAGTAGTAGTAATAGTACCTTTCCTACGGGACATTGAACGCGTTTACAAGACTTCCCAGACACTTCTTCGTAAGTGGAAAAGAATGAAGGAAGAAGAAAAAAAGAGAAAAATATTCGGGGTTAGACTTTTGTGGTCTTCTGATGTAAATGGGAAGTAGAGCAGAAAAGAGGAAGAGGATGAAGAAGAAGAAGGAAAGAAAAAAAAGGGAGAGAAGAACGTAAATAAGTGTGAAAGGAAAAAAATAAAGAAATAGACGGCTGGTGGATAGATGATAGAGAAAAAGAAAAGAAAAAAATAGATTACTCGAACTTTCCTTCTCTCTACGACGATTTTCTATTCCCCTCCCCTCCCCCGATCCATGCATCGCCCCTTGGTTTATTTTTAATTTTTGTTTTTTCTTTTTTTTAATTTTTTAATCATAAATCTAGCAGAATTTGTTTGCTCTACGACATGCAGCACAACATGCCACACATAGTTGCGGGATAGAGAAGGTGGATGATGGTAATAAGAGGGAGGGACGGGGGGATACTTTTTCGATTTTATCTGCTTGATCCGGGATGATCAAAGATTCTATCGAAGAAGAAGAAGAAGAAGAAGAGGAGGAGGAAGAAGGTGGAGGAATATGAGAATAAGTGTGTGAGTGAGTGGGAAAGTAGTGAATGGTTCAGATAGATTTTTATTCTTTTTTTTTTTCTTCTTTGGTGACAAATCGGATATATCGAGGAGATGTATTATCAAGGATCGTATTATATATAAATATATATTATATATATATATATATATATGTATATAGAATATGTACATGTACGATTAGATACTGTACTGTGTCATTTTGGTCGGAGGACCTCGTTGAAGCTTACCCTCTTCCCTTGCTTTCCCCGGGCACCCTTCTCGCCGGTCAGACCGGGTGGTCCTGTCGGACCCAGCTCTCCCTTCTCGCCCTGGGGCCCTGCGTGCGTGTATATACCACGTGCATAAAATAATACATGGATATCTTTTCCTCGTTCCGCCCTTTCTTTCTTTTTTTTTTGTTTTCTTTAGAGCACGCGATGCGATACGATAAACGATAAGAAAATAAAGAGATTCGTTTTAAACAAAATAAATGAATAAATAAATAAATAAATGAATAACAAACAAAAAAAGGGGGTACGAATCGTTGTCAAAAGAAGTGGATTGTAGAAATGAAAAAAAAAAAAAGAAGAATATAAAAAAGAAAAATATGAAAAGGCATATTAAAATCCATCACATCAAAGTAAAAGCTTTGTCGCGAGTTTCTATAGTACATCTAATGTAAGTGCACTTGTTTACCCGTTTAAATTCCCTATCTGGGAATTAACCGCTTCAGGGCGAACAATGTTTTTCGCGAAATGAACGAGAAGAACGTTATTACCACCGCCCAATGGTGAATAAGATTCGTGTCAGAGATTTTCGTTCAACTTCTCGATCGTTTACGCTTGAATTAGTCAAGTATCGTTATTAATTATGCTCTACTATGTCTACTGAGTCGTTCGTTAACGTTTACATGTCTCTACGCGCGCACGTATGTGTTTGTGTTTCTGTGTGTGCACATGTGCGTGTATATGAAGTTAATTGGTTACTTAAAGTTACTACGATAAGCTGGAGTACTTCAATTTGTCTTTCTAATTCGAATTAGTATTACTCGCACGATTTAACGATCTCTTTCTTTCTCTTTTCTCTCTCTTTCTCTCTCTCTCTCTTTCTCTTTTCTCATAACAATTCTTGCTACATCGTCACACAGTTGTTCAAAGATTAACCGGAAGAAATTCTAAAGTTGTAATAGTCCTAATCCAAACTCTACTTGTTGTTTCAAATACGATTGCACTTTCTCTCTCTCTCTCTCTCTCTTTCTCTTTCTCTCTTATTTTCTTCATTGTTGGAAACAGTTCATAGAAGAGAAACTACTTCGAAAGATAGTTCTCGAGAAATGGTTTCTCCGAAAGTAACGTTTTGTACGTTTAAATTTTACTCTCGAATTAAAACTATAAAACCCATTAATTCACATGGTACGTTGCCAATTTTTATACGCTAACAGGTAAAAATTAATTATTTACGTGTAACAAAGAGAAAAGAAAAATGTAAGAAATTTTCCCGACAAATGTAACTGAGAAAGTAAATTGACGATTTTGACTTTTAGATTTGATATATAAGTATAACGTTAAGGAAATTTACAAATGAAAATAAAAGTTTCTTGGAAACATTGAGAGTTACTTTATTAAATCGTTTACGAACGCGCATATCGAATAATCTTAACCTTCGATCAGAGTCTTTTGATTTCTACGAAGTTAACAGCCAACATAGTAAGATATGTAGACACACATACACGCATATATACATACATAACGTCATTCCTTTTGAATGACGAGCAATGAATACCGTCTGTGCGACTCGTTAAAGAAGCATGCCTCTCGCGCATGACGAAGCTTAATAATCTCGTTATAACGCCGCAAGGCTCTTTTACGGATCTATCACGGTATTACATTACTTAGAGAACCATTACGCGACGTTAAAGCTACCGTTTAATAATTCCAAGCAAACCAAAGGTGGGTAGTAGTAGTTAGTGCCCTTCTTTTCTTTATTAGCGAATTCGCGGCAATTCTCCTTTTAATGAACGCCCCCAACTACCGCGACTTGGTTCTACTATTTTTCAACATTTTTTTCTGTCTTCTTTATCGAGGTAATTTGTCGATGTGACGATGTTTTAATAAAAAAAAGTATAGTTATTTAAAAAAAAACAAAAGTAGGTATCTCGAAGTATAATAATATAATCGAAAACGTTAGATCGAGCGTGTACCAGCTTTTATCGCATCGCTAACATTGTCCGAGAACTAAGAGATCCGGTTTGCATATGTAACAAGAGGTAGTAAAGAAGAAAGATAGAAATAAATAAAGAAAGAAGAAAAGGAGGAGAAAGAAACCCAAAAAAAAGAAAAAAAAAAAGAAATAGAGAGATAGAGAACGAAAGGGAAAAGTTGGCAAACAGTTACGAAGTTTAGCTCGCGGCAATAGTTACGTTTTAGTTCCGCCCACTCTGTGAAACATTTCTCGCCGTATATACTTTTGCTTGACTTCGTTCTTCGTTTTGCGAGTTTTGTTGAAAAATTGGTCTAAAGAGATTTCTATTATACAGGGGATCGTTAGATATAATTTCAGATTAATAACGTATATAGAAATGCTGGTAGCGTGTAATAAGAGAAACAGAGATAGACTATATAATAAATTAACTTGCATCTAATATAAACTACTTCCAGTCCAATCATCTAAAATGTTAAAAAGAGACAGAGCTAAAGATTAAGAGTCGAACGAACGAAAAAGAGTGAGAGAGAAAGAGAGAGAGAGAGAGAAAGGTTTAGAGATCGTTCTATCAGACTCCCAGCAACAACCATTATAACTCGCGCGATAGTTAATTATTTGAAATCAAAATAAATTAGATTCGATGCGATTATTGGGGCTTACCAGGTGGTCCAGGTGGACCAGGAGGACCTTCCAATATTCCGGTTGGAAATTGATCTCCGTTCAACGCAGTCGTCATCCCACGTTCACCTTTATCTCCCTTGTCACCCTGTTGAATAAATCAATCTGCAATTTAGGTGTTTCACGTTTCGTATCGTACCGACACACACAAGCAAGCTTTATCGATTGATTTTCTAATTGCCTATATTTTTTGTGTTTTTTTTTCTTCTTTTTTTCCCCCGATTTTTTCTTCTTTGCCAGATAAAATTATATACGAGCGCGAGCAACGTGCGCGGTAATACGGGATAATAATTTGTAGGATTTGTACGATAATTTAGAACAATGAAAATAAATTTGACGATTAATCCGACGATATTGGGATTTAGTTAATGCAATCGTACCGATAGATCTCCCGGAGCGAAATATACACGTGCGTTTCGTGCATAAATGTTTGTTGCGTTCGTCGTTGTGTTTGTACGTTCCGTTAGTCGGAATATAATACGGAAGGACACGTTTTAAGAAGTATCGAGTATCGAAGTAAAATCTATCACGGAAGTAAATCGTTAACCAGAGTGAGATGCCTTTCCGAGTTGCATGTTTTCCTCCATCTATACGCGCGTGGGTACGTATATAATGTTTTCTTTTCTTACTTTTATTTATTATTTATTTTCCCCGAGATATCTCGTATAGCCAAGGCTACGGAGAGAAACGGATACGTACACGCGTGAATTACGATCGTTATATTATTATACTATCGACAAAAAAATGTTATACCTTTCTTAAGTAAATTTATTTCGATAACTCTTAAAAGTATTTGGTTGCATCAAAGATGAAAAAGAAAAAAAAGAATGGTTGGAAAAATATGTGCGGATGGGAATAAACGATAGTAGGAAAGATAGGGGAAAGGGGTGGGTTTTATTTATGCCATTTTCTATCTGTGTCCCTAAAAAAATATCCGAGAATGTAAATTTAAAAGTTATGAAATATGCATTTATTCTTCTCGCCGTCGTATAAGTCGAGCCGCCGTGCATTTTCCGGACGATATATCTTCGATGCGTTTCGATGTGGCAAGTGAGAGGAGAAACGCGAACGCGGTTGACTTCGAAAGTCAAATATTTCCGGGGTAAACTCTCGCGAGTAAACACTTCGCGATCCTGAATAGTTGATAGTTTTGGGAACGTGTGAGTTTTCGACTCTTATTCGCCGTGCAACCATGTCTATCCTCCTTCTAGCATAAGCTTGTAAAAATTCTTACCGCGAATTAACGTTCTCATTTTCTAACGTTTGATAAATATCAAGGGGAATCATTTTCTTCAAATGTAATAATACGCGATAGCATGGAATAATGATTGAAATTTAATTGAAAAGGTTTTAATACGTTACACAATAGTAGGTAGTAATAGATTTATTTAGAAACTTCGATGTGTATAATTGTGTACGATCGTTCGAGAAAAGATTTGCCACAATTGTTATATAAAAGAAAAAAAGAAAAATTGTTCCATACACGAATTATCGGATAGAAATTATCCGAGGCAAACAGAGATTGTGGTGCTCATCTACGAAAGAAAAAAATATGAGAAAGAGAGGAGGAGGAGGAGGAGGAGGAGGATCAGGATCGTCAAGATTGTAAAGATAAATGAATAAAGCCATTAAAGAGGATTAACTGAGAGTAGAAGATGGTAGAGTAAGGTATATATCGAGATGTAACGATAATCGATATTCCAAAACGTCAATATAAATAAATATCAGGTTCCCGAACGGTGGATAGGATTCGTTCATTTGATAGACTAACGAATTCATTCTAATTTAGTATAAATCGTATGATGAAGTAATAAATAAATGAAAAAATAAAAAGAGAGAAAAGAAAAAATCGAATAAGTTTACCTTTGGACCGGAAAGTCCTGGAATACCGGGTGGACCGATAGGACCGATCGGTCCAGGTGCACCCTTTTCACCCGGGGACCCAACCTCACCAGGAATCCCTTGTCTTCCTTCGTGTCCTGGGAGACCCTCCGATCCTGGTGGACCTGGTGGACCCGGTGGCCCAGGTTCTCCTGGTTCACCCTGTTACGTCCCAAGAGCGTTACGTCGTTACGGTTTTCCTCTTATTCGAGAGCCCTCGACAAGGAGTGTCTCTCGTTGCTCGTTGGTTTTGTGCCACGGATGGATGGAACCGGAAAAGGGACCAAAGGGAGGAGGTGTTATGGGTATAGTAGGGTTGACCGTAAAGAAAGAAAGAAAGAAAGAAAGAAAAAGAAAAAGAAAAAGAAGAAGTAGACAAGAAAAGTAGAAAGAGTGAGTGAATGAGTGAGTGAGAGAAAAAGAGAAGATAAGTGAGCGGTTGGGAGGAGAGAGAAATAGAAAATGGACGTGTTCCTCGTGTATTGGATCGAGAAAAAAAAAAGAAAAAAAAAAGAAGGAAAGATACAACAAAAATAAAGAAAAAATCTGGAAGAAAAACCCGTGCGTGGAAATCAATCCGTGCGTTCCCAAGTGTATCACTCTGACGTTGAGTTGTTCCCCCCGTCTAATTAATAAAAAGGACCGACTGAAACTATTTCTTTATTTCTCTCTCTCTCTCTCTCTCTCTCTCTCTTTTATTATAGATCATTTCAAATGTGTTACCTGAGAGTCAAATGGGAGATCTCCTACGGCGAAAAAAATGCAGAGAGAGAGAGAGAGAGAGAGAGAGAGAGAGAGAGAGAGAGAGAGAGAGGGGTATAACCGGTAATTAACTGATGCGCGAGTGAACGGCGACGGTCTTCTATATATAATAAATATAAAGCGCGTTCGGCGTGTAATTAAAATCCCATGGAGAAAGAAAATAATACAAAATGATGAAAGGAAGAAAAAGAAGAAGAAGAAAAAAAAAAAAGAAGAAAAGAAGGAAGGAAGGTATGTTATATACCGGACGAAACCGATCGTGAATTAATCGAGTTTGCGATCGACGAAAAGGATCGATTAAATCCTGCCGCGACATATTCGATCGAGCGTGGATATTAAATATCGTTCAGGATGGTAATAATAAAAATATTATATATATGTTGGTAGTCTCCCGACATAGATAAAAATATAGAATGAAAAATTTCAATCTCTTATAGACAAGATTGTGTGTATAGAAAAATAAAAATAAAAAGAGAGAGAGAAAGAATTACGAACGGTTACGGATACTGGGTCCTATAACGAGAGTAGACGTGAAAGACGACGATATACACGAGGATACGCGATGATAATGTGGGCATGGGCACGCTATGGTACATGTACGTATGTCAAATACAACATACCGGTGGCCGAGGAAACGAGGATGGATCACCCCCGATATCTATCGTAGGAGAGATAGCTTCCCACATGAATATGTGTATCCTTGTGTCTATGGTTACGTGTGTGTATATGTGTTCGATTATGGGTGTGTCTGCTATTAGATCTATGGGGAGACGAGGGGGGGGGATCCGTGATACATAGGACAAGAGAGTCGAGTTCCACGCACGGAAAATACGGCATGCGCGTTTGCCTGATTATGATTATGCTTGTAGTTTTCGATAGTAGTTGTGACGATAGTGGAAGTGGTGGTGATGGTGATGGTGATGGTTGCGATGCTTCCATTGCCCTTGGAAAATATACTTCATTCGATAGTTCGCAGGTGTCGAACGAGTAGCCGATTGAACGAAAAAAATTAAGTGTAAGAAAAAAAAAAGAAAAAGAAAAAATGAGTAATAGAAAGAAAAAGAAAATAATGAAAAGGACAAAAACCGATAACCGTGCGCGTGCAAAATGACATCGACGATTGCGCACACATACATTTTCGTGCAATGCTAAAATAATTAAACGAACTTTCGTTAATATTCCTCGACGAGTTAATCCGACAAATACGGTAGATTAATATTCGTATCGGTTAAAAAAAAAAAAAACATAAAGGAGAAATATTATAAAAATGTTTGATTACGAGATATGTAAAAGTATAGACAATGAATTTTTAAAAGAAACCTTGTTCCAGCTATTTTTCCCCACCGTTGAGATTATCCCACGGAAAACATTACTATCTCCAGAGAGTGATTTTGTTAATGAGCAAAAATACTCGTTCCTGGGGTAGTTACTTCAACCCTTTCACCCCCATTCCTCCCTCTCGGCTATCCATCTTTTGTTTATTTTATAAAGTATAAAATAATTCCGAAGTTTATTTACGTTTACCTCGGGAATATTTTCTACGAACGTTCGTTTCTTTTTATTCTTTTTCGTCTTCGTCTTCGTCTTCGTCTTCGTCTTCGTCTTCAATTTCTTTTTCTTTTTATTTTGAAACGAAAGAAAAAGCAAATGGAGGACAGCGAAATGGAGATAAAGAGAGTGATAGCCTTTTTTTTCTACGAGTAATTCGCAAAGTAACATTACCAAAAGAAACATGCATTTCTAAGCACAGGTTACGCTATTTTACATTCGCTAAATATACACAAACCGTTGCGTTGCAATCATTTCAAGAATATATAAACATATACATCAGTGCATACATACAAATATACATACATGTACAACGTACATATCCATATGCATACAAGTATACATGCAAGTAGCCGGAGGAAATTTAAAGGATAATGTAAACTACCTATCGTAAACGTATTCATGCGATATGCAAACACGTTCGTTCATACGATTGCGTTTGATTTTAAGTGAACCATCGTGTCTAAACGTCGAGACATGCAAGAAAAAAAATGGTGGGAAGGGAAATGACATATAATAGTGATTGAGAGAAAGAGATAGAAAGTGACAGAGAAAAAGAGAAAGTAAGAAAAATAAAGAAAGAAAAAAATGTGTAAGAGATAGAAAGAAAATAAAGGGTGAAACGGAAAGAGAAATAGAAAGATTGGTTTCTTTTACTTTGTATCGAATAGAAAACACAATTTGAGAAGGTGATACCAAGGTGGATAAGATTTCTTTTCTTTTTCTAATATTCACTATAAAAAGAGAGAGAGAGAGAGAGAGAGAGAGAGAGAATAGAACGATTTTTTGAACGTGTTTATGGTTATTTTCCACCGGTTAAAAACGAGCTTCAAAAGGTAATATTAAAAAATAAAAATGAATGCGCGCGGTAGTAACGTTAAGTTGTATTAGTCCGTAAATAATTAGCATAATTTTTTCACCGAGTGAAAGACTCAAGACCAAGGTTTTTTTCTTTCTTTCTTTTTGTTTTTTTTTTCCCCTCCGTACTCTATACTCATTTCGTTCGACTTTTCGAGCTCACGAAACGCGGTTTCTTCTCCCTTTTATATTTTCACAACGAAATAAAATTTCCTCTTATTTTTTTTTCCTTTTTTTTTTTTTTTTCCTTTTTCTCTCTTTCACCACGGGCGACGTTCAACGCGTTTAAAGTAAATTTATTCGACGACGAGCAGAAAGAAAAAGAAAGATAAAGATAGAGGCACGTTACGCGAGGTAGATACACACATATATATATATATACATATAACCGTAAAAGGTTCCGACATGATAGAAGATAAAATAGCGTTGACTAGAAAAGTGCATAAAAGTTCTTCTCTGGCTTTCCTTGATATTTTAAGATACATCATATAGGCCTTTATCATCAGATAAGAATTTTCCGATAACTTAGAAAAGATATATACAAGATATATATTATATATAGATATTTTCTTAAATTGGAGTCAACACTTATGATCAATTTCATTTCTTTTGCAATGTCAATCGTAGAAAACACGCGTATTATCGAAAAGTCGAACGAATTTGAAGGAATTTTATTTTGGTCTTTTTAAAGAAAAGAAAATTGGATATGGAAAGGGTGTATAGGGATTAGGAGTGGGTGGGAGAGGAACATGGATAATAAAAAAAGAAGAGCAGGCGCACTTACTTTCAGTTGTATGATGGTTTGCGCCGATATATTGTGCCCCTGCTCCTGTAGTCCCTAGAAGTACGTCAACTACGGGTAAAAACCAAATCGCTACTGAACGGCAAAACTTAATGGTGGCGGTGGTGATGGTGGTGGACGGGCATGGGAGAAAAAGATCTTCAAACGTGTTAGATCGTGGTAGTTTTTTTTTGTCCATCGATCTCCACCATCTGAGAGATCGGAGAGTAAGGGAAATGGGAAAATTTAGGATTGTTGAGGAAGTTTAAGTTAAAAGGCAATTCGGGAAGGGGGAGAGAGAGGGTTATAATAACAATGGTAGCTACATTTTATTTGCGGGATATAATATCACAGGTTTTCATTTCTCGCTCCAAATCCGCGGCATGCCCAGGTATATACCTAAATACTGTAACTTAAATTTTAAACAAGAAAAGAAAAAAAAAAGAAGGAACACCATTACCAAAAATAAACAAAAAACCAAAGTATAATAGAAAATCCAAAGATGATTGTCTTGCGATTCGATCGAAATTATTTTATTACGATAAAATAATAATAATAGTAATAATAATCATCATAATCATAATCATAATCATAATCATAATAATATTCGTAGGAATAAAAATAAAGATCGCATTTAAAATGATTTGACGATTAGAATTTAGATTTTTTTTTCTTTTTTTCTTTTCTTTTTTCTAGAATAAAATTAAGATCGATTCAATTCATCTTTGTATTTTCTAAGCATATAAAACCAACGAAGAAGAATACGCTACACCGAAAGCACCGTAAGATGAGATAGGCAACACGTCTAAATAAATAATATACGAGAAGAATTAATCGGATGGGAATAATTATGGCTTCGTCAACAAAATAACATTTTTTTTATGGCGGTGGTGATAGTGGTGGTGGTGTTGTAGGTGGTGGTGGTAGTAATAGTGATGGTGATTCGTGATGTTGTGAAATGAGATAGAAACGAAAAAATAGAAAAGATAGAAATAAAAAATGAAGAAAACGAAAAGATATTCGGAAGAAAAGAAAGAGTTGTTGCGTGATATGTTGGAGTAAAAGAGAAAAAGGAAAAGTAGCGACGACGAGAAAAAGAATGTGTGTGTGTGTGTGTGTGTAGATGTAGGTGTATGAGAGAGAGAGATAGAAGAGGTCCTGAAGAAAGCGACACTCGCAGCACGTGTCAGCTTACGGAAGAGGCCGGTTACCTTCAGAGCGACGATTTCCGCATATCCTAGTGTCCCGCCACGGAGGGTCGTCACCGACCTCTTTAACCCCAATCCCTGTGCATTGACCCGTAGGTGGGAGAAGGAAAGATGTTTTATTTTATTTGTCAAATCTACATTTCGTCAGTCTACATCTAGACTGTTTCTTCATTCGGATTTTATTTTCTTTTTTTTTTTCTCATTTATTTATTTATTTAATAATAATTAAGCCGCTTCGTCCACGTTTAACACATTGCGAACGAACAAAAAGATATATCCTTCTCGTATTTTTTCTTTTACAGATTATCATAATTATCGACCGTTGTAACGATATCACGTAATTGATAAATTGACGTTTATAAATGAAGGATTTTTTGGAATGATAGTAATAGTGGTTCGATCAACAATGAATGTGTATAATTCATTGAAAAATATTTCACGCAAATTACTAAATTATTTAGCTTCAATGTTTCGACTTCGTTTGCAATGCGTTAAAATAATATGTTTCGTAACATAAGATAGAGTAATAGAACGATAGGCAAAGATCAAAGTAAAATATAGAAGAAGAAGAAGAGAAACATCATGATGATGATGATGATGATGATGATGATGATGATGATGATGATGAAGAAACAATGATAGAACGTAAATGCGTTATTTTGTATAATCGACGAAGCGACGATTAATGTTTTAAACAACGATCGATACGAGTATTGTGAGAGGAATGGTAAAATATTGAGTATCGGGCCAATTTACTCAACTTATTTTCGATTACGTTCTACTCTTCTATTTTGTTGAATTTCATAACGGTATGAAAGAGAGAGGGGAGAGAGAGAGAGAGAGAGAGAGAGAGAGAGAGAGAGAGAGAGAGAGAGATAAAGATAGAGGGAATAAATTTTGCCGATTGCGATTTTACGACTAGTCGTTTACGCGAGACCTCTTGTTCTCTTGATAACTATGGCTATTAATTTTCTTTATCTTTTATACAACAAACACAGTTGGATATATATATATATATATATATATATATATATATATATATATATATAATATTATCCAATAATATTCTCTCGTACGAGGCTCGTAACGATCGTTGTTTAAATATATAATACAATAATATGGAATTTGACAAGTGTCACTAGTGTATCTTGTTATAAATCGATTTTTCAAACAAAAAAACTGCTACTATTCTTCTCTGACATATGAAAAAATACGAAAGTAAAAAATTAGTACGCTCGATATGAAAAATAGATTAATGTTATTTCGTTTTATTATTTCTTTATCCATCTAGACACTGTAAAAACGTTTGAGAATATTTTTTTCTTTTTGATAAAATTAAAAAAAGATAGAGGAAATTATTTAATTAAAAGAAAATTATTTTAAAAATCCTTTATATATACGGGAAGGATATTTTTCAACGTGAAAAGATGTATCGCTTAACTCGCGTTACACGTAACGTATTTTACCTCTTTGAATACTTTAACGGAGGTTTTCACAAGTTCACAGTGGTACCTTGTAACTCCCAGGTGAATACAACGTAGCTTTACGCTAAGAAGGAAGGAAGGAAGGAAGGAATGTACGTACATACGAACGAACGAACGAACGTACGTAGGTAACGCGAATGAGAATTTAGCAGATCGGTCTCTAAAGGGCAGGAAACGAGCGACAAGAGCGTAGAAAGCGATACATTTTCACGTTAAAACCCTTCTTCCGTGTGCCAAATCCTTGGGGTGTCGTTGTTATATATAAATCCTGTATATACGCACGTTCTTACATCCTATATATATATTCGTGTGCATGTAGAAAGAGAGACACAAATTTACGTAGTTTTGTAAGGTACCTTTACTGCTGAGAAGACATCGAAACCAGGGCTTCCAAGTTCTCCTTTCTGCCCTTTCTCACCGGGTCGACCCTGCAAGTGAACAACGGTATACGTGAATAGAGATAATTAAAAGAAATAGCGTTTAAGTTAAGTTCGCACATAACGCGCACACGCACACACACATACACACAAAACGTTTCTAGAGAAAATTGCCCTTTTCGAGATAATAACTTTCTAACGTTGAAATTTTATCCGCGAAATATGAAAAAAAAAAAAAGAAAAAAAATGTAAGTAAACGTAAAATAGGTTTTCATCGTGGGTTTTATGTATACATATAATATATGAAAAAAAGGTAATCGAATTTTCTACCAATGGGAACTGCATATGATAAAATGTTTCTCGAAAGATAAATTGGTAGAATTTTCTGATAATAACTTGGTCGATTCTTCTTTTAGGTAGAGAGAGGGGGGGAAAGGTTGGTGGGTTTTTCAGGAGGGTGGGGTAAGCACCTAAGTATACAATCCATAGTTTGCATGGTCAGTCAGCCCGCGGGCGTATGTATGTAACGAGAGAGAGAGAAAGAAAGAGACAAGCAAAGAGGTACACCTTCGAGTCAGTCGATCAAAGTTCTCATTCTCCTTCTCTTCCTCTTTTTCTTCTTCTCCTTTGTCCATCCAGAAGACAAATATCTAGGAATATTTGCGATGCACTCGTCTCTCCAATTTCCGTCTGGTTATACGGGTCGGAAACGACGATATTTGGTATCTTCGTTGCTCAATAAGAGAATAAGATAGATAGATACGTAATACATAAAGAAATAGCCCATAAACGATCTTTTTCCTAGCTATTCTCTATCCCATATATACGTATGCACGAGAATACACATTCGCAAATTTAGGATTGGTACGACACCCTTCTCACCATTTGGTGAGAACGAAATTTGATCACACGTTTGTATCATCTCTCTCTCTCTCTCTCTCTCTCTCTCTCTCTTATGTCTCTTGGGTTAAAGCATGGTTGCATGGAAACAACATGTATGCATGTATATTATCTGGGTTTGTTATTTGCAATAGAAACACGTGAACCTTCTTTCTCTCTCACTCTCGCCGTTGCATTTTTTTGTTTGTTCATTTTCTTTCCCCCATTTCTTTTTTTTTTTGCTTTAAATCAATCAATCGGAATTGTTTTTTATCGGGGGAGAAAATACAATAAACTTTTTACCAACGAAAGAGAAATTAAATTTTCTTTTTATTTTCTTGTATGCAACGTTAATAACGTTTCCTACTATACGGTTTTTTTTTTGTTTAAATAAAAACCAATAAAGACAGGATATTCTAGTGTTTCCCCATTGAAAATTTGCGATTTGTTCTTTGAAAAAAAAAAAAGAGAGAGAGAGAAGGTGGACACATGACGTCACTCGTATAACAGATTTATCTCTGATAAATTCGCACTTCGAAAATGGCCCCGACGACGACGATGACGACGACGACAACAACGAGCGTGATACGTCTCTTTCTATTGCTTAGCAGTGCTGCTGCTGCTGGCTACATCATACACACACACATATACCAGGGGGCAGGAAGGGGGACAAATGCACGTCAGATTGTCGGCAGCGGTGGTAGCTGTCAACAACGTCGAGCATGTCCTTTCGCGCATCGTTTTGTATTTTTTCTTTCTTTTATTTTTTGTTTCTCGGACGGAACGAGAAGAAGAGGGAGGGTGGGAGGGATGGAGGAGTGATCGACGTTTAATGAAATTTACTCGATCCTTCGGTACCTGTTGCATTTTGTTTGTTACGATATATCTTCGATCACGCAGACAGAGGTGTCCGAATGACATACAAATTGGATTTTCCGTGTCAGGACAAACAAACAAATTTCTATCAGTCAATATTACTTAACATTTAATGTAAAAAAAAATCGTGCGGATATATTATTGTAGTACAAAATTTATTTGCATGAAATATTTTTGAACAAACCAAATTCGTTTTACTAAAGTCGGATTACGTATTATCGTAATTTTCTGTTGGCAATATTTTCGAATTATCCGAATTGCGATTTTGTTCAATATTTTTTCACGTAGATTAGAAAAATAGATATTGTGTGAATCGTCGAAGAATCTGGTAGGTGTTGATAAACTTACCGGATCTCCTTTAGGTCCGTCCAAACCGATTGGTCCCTGAAAGAAGATACTTATTAATAATGATCTTACAACAATTTGAACGACGAACGAAGGAAAGTGAAAATTCGAGTGGGCTTAGGCTTAGCCTTGAAGATAAAATCATTCCTTGGCGTATATGTATAGATTTATACAAACGTATATACATGTATGCATGTAAATATATATATGTATATATACATGTACACGCGTACACACATGCATACACGTATATATGCAAGTAGGATGAGCAAACGCGACAGAGATAGAGGCACCATTGAGAGGTATGTATGAGACGATAATAATCATACTGCGTATCCAAATACGACGGCTGTTAAATTCAATGTTCCCATCGTTGATATTTCATTTAAACGTGTCCTTTCACGTAAAATTCAAATATTGGCAGCGCAAGTCATGGCCGACTAGCCAGCTAGCTAGCTCGAATGACGATGCCGTTACGTCATTCATCGTGTTCTGTTATTATCGGCATTATTTCTCGGCTTTATGCTTCTCGCGTTTATCAATTTTCAGTTATTGACGATTATGATCGTTCCAATATTTTTCTACTAAAAGAGGGGATGAAAAACAGCGAATGAAAATATTAACGAGCATTAACGAGACGTTATTTTTAATATACGTACGAAAATGATTTTAACGATTGTCGTATAAAAAAAGGAAAACGTCGTTATATAATAATATTTGAAATCAAACAAAGTTCGATGATGATAATAAAATTAAAAAGATGATCGTTCGATTCAATATATATTATTTATTTTTTGTTCTCTCTGCCAACAAATGCGTTATGATTGATATAACATTCGCGAACCGTTTGGTTTATTGATCGATTCGTAATAATATCGAGTAGTAGTAGTAGCAGCATCAACGTTCAATATATTATCATCGTAGATAGCGATATCAATTATGATGATGGTGTGTCCAACAGAGAGCACAGGATAACCTAGTATTGGACACCTACAACAAGCTATGCGTGAATTACACTTCCGCTGCCAATTTTACAAACGAGCCAACGTATTTGGAGACCATACGACAGATTGTCGCATATAGGCGAAACTTATTTGGGCTCTGTGTAATGAGACTGCTTTGAAAAAAATATGAACAAAAGAAAAAAAGAAAAAGATATATATGTTACCGTTAAAGCCAGAAATCAGGCATTACTAGTAATTCCTCGGTATTAATATAAATGTAAAGAGCCTTCAGACGAAGGGTTTACAGAGACTTTTCAAAGAAATATCAGAGATTGCAATGCTATAAATTGTACAACTTTGCTATTTCTTTAAAAACTTTTGATAAATATTTTTTTTACTTTTAGCAAATGGATTTTAATGATTTTTATATTAAATTAAAGATCCGCTTGCTGTAAGTATAAAAAATATTTGGAGAAACTTTTCAAAGAAATTGCAAAGATGTACAATTTACAGCATTGCATTTTCTGACATTTTCTGAACTTTACATGCTAAATTTATAGCTCGATATAGTATTCTACGCATAGACAAAAGAGTGTACTTTAATTTAATATAAATTTCATTAAAATCTACTCACTCTTTTAGTATAAAAAATATTTACCAAAACTTTTTAAAGAAATAGCAAAGTTGTACAATTTATAGCATTGCATTCTCCGACATTTCTTTGAAAAGTTTCTGTAAACCCTTTCGTCTAAAGGCTCTTTACATTCATAGTAATGCCGAGGAATTACTAGTAATGCCTGATTTCTGGCTTTGACGGTAACAATATATATAGAAAGAGAGAGAGAAAAAAAAGAAATAAATAAAAAAAAAAAAGAAACGAAATGAAAAAAAGAGGGTCGTTCGATGAGGAAAATAAAGCTGAGCAGGGAGGGGGGTGGTTCAATGGATCGAAGCTGAAGAAAAGAATCGCAGCGTGATAAACGATAGAATTTGATGATTGCAATCACATAAACGATGCGAATAGAAAAAGAGAAAGAGATAGATAGATGGAGAGCTTGATATAACGAGCGACGAGAGACAGATAGAGAGAGAATGAGATAGAAAGAGGAATGGAAAGAAAATAAAAAATAATATACCGGAAAACCGTTCTTGCCCGGCGTCCCGGCCACACCCTGTAAGAAGGGGTATAACAAATTAAAAACTCGTTTACTAGGGGAAAGGGATTAGGTACTTTCGCGCTCATGCAAAAGCGTTTGTTCCGTGCCCACGAGTCGTGATCGTGATCCTATCGTCGTGTGGATCGTATGGAAAATAGAAGAGAAAAAGATAGCATGAGAGAGAGAGAGAGAGAGAGAGAGAGAGAGAGAGAAAGTAAAATAAAAAGAACGAGATGGAGAAAGAAAGGAACGAAAAAAAAAACTAAAACACCGTAAGTACGTACACCGTTAAGGAGCAAACCGATAATTATTCCGGCCAATTAGATATTCCCGCAGCGTGCAAACGTGCGGCCAATGGGCGACACGCGTTGTATACCTCGACGTGGCCCTGTGACCACAGGATCTTGGATCCAGTGGCGAGTACCACAACTCGAAGAGAACAAAGAGAGATAAATAGAGAAATAAAGATAGAAATAAAAAGAGAGAGAGTATTCGTTTTGTTTTTCGAAAAGAATCGCGATAGGGTTGGTGTGTCGCTGCAACAATTCTGGATCAAAAAATAATGATCGTGTTCAAAGCCACAAATTGGCTGCCGACGACTCGTCTCCGTCTGATCCTGAAACCTTCAAAACTGCGATAACTGCCCGCCGAATTTACCGATTGAAACGTTTCTTTCTTTCGTTTTTTTTTTGTTTTATTTCGTTTTAGAGCAGCGACAGAAGAAGAAAATACTTATCGTAAGTAGGAGGATTTGTCAACGTCTGTTGTATAAAAAAACAAAAAGGAAAAGATCGAAGATGAGTTATATTTTTGTTTAAGTTAAGCGGTTCTATACATTGGTCGGTGCTTAACGTTGAAAAGGAGGATCCCTATTTTACCTGGTAAATAACCGGTATCTCTTGATTTATACGAAAGAGTGGAGAAGAAATGGCGAAACGGATGGAGAAGAGAATGCTCGTCTCTTCTTCTTCCTCCTCCTCCTCCTCCTCCTCTTCCTCCTCTTCTTCGTTCACGCGATCAAGAATGGCTCGTGTATACCGTTAGCTACTGTACTATGTCATGCTCGGACATTTGCAGATACAACTCTTTTCTACGGGTGCGTGTGTATTGGTGCGCTACGATATAGGCTCGGGGGAAAGGTAGTGCCGATGAAAAGGGGGTGGTACAGGAACGAAACGTGCTTTTCGAGTGGCAAGGGGTTGGTGGTGGTAGTCGATCGCTTTGGATCGAGTGCACTACTCACCGGCGGCCCGGGCTCTCCGGGATCTCCCTTTTTGCCCTTCTTCCCTTTTTTCCCTGGTTCTCCCGGTGGACCTGGTTTCCCCGGTGGACCTGAAACACACAAACCAAAGGCGTCCTCTCTTAATATCTTCCATTCGATTCTATTGAATTCCTGTGCCTTTATCATTCAACAGATATTATTATTATTATTATTATTATCTACGATCGTTTCATAAATTTATTCCCTGCTAAAAAAGTCTACTATTTTGGTATTTACAATTATACTTTTAACCACCATCCCGTATAACACGAATTTTCTACAACTTTTTTCGAGATATTTGCAATTATTTGTTAACCTATTAACGCGAATCCTCGTAGTACTATACAAGATATTACGAATAAAATATTGGAAGAAGAAATATATTGTTATTTCGTATAGGAGAGAGACAAATTCGAATCGCTTTATAACGGTGAGTACTCTTCTATCGTAATGCAGTAAAAAGAAAAATCATTTAACTAATTATTTCATTTCAAATATGACTTTTCTTCTCATCTCTCTCTCTCTCTCTACTCTCCGACTAATTTTTGTTTCTTTTTCGTTTATCAAAGAATTGCGCTATAGCGCATTCGAAAAATTCTTCATTTCATTTTCCAAGTGGCTGGCGAACTCGGAGAAAGAAAGAGAGAGAGAGATCCCGTTCAAATAGACATTTTCTGCGAGATAGCGAGGATATCACGTTCGTCCATCTCCAAAATTGAAAGAACTACGAACGATTGATACCACAGATCTCTCTTCTCTCTCTCTCTTTTCTTACAAATCAATAACGTAAATGGAGGAGAAGGAACGTGATAAAAAAGAAAGAAAAAAAGCAAGCACACATCAAATGTGATTCATAAAGCTCACTTATTATCAATCGAATCACGAAAAATGGCTTTGGTTGTGTGTGCCCTCGTACGTACTCACTCGTTCGAGTGACGAAAAAAGAAAAGAACGAAGGGAGAAGGAGGAGGAGGAGGAGGAGGAGGAAGGAGCGGGAGGGAGAGAGAGGAGTTTGGGTTGATTTCGATTTTGCGATGGTGGGTCCCTCTCTCTTTGGAGGATATGACGTCACCCCGTCAGAATATTGCCGCCAGCGATAAACGGAAAATAAAAGAAAAAAAAAAGAGAGAGAGAGAGAAGCTCCCGGGCCTGTTCAAATGTCCGAATACCGTTCTCTCATCTCTTCTGTTCTTTCTCTCTCTCTCTCTCTCTCTCTCTCTCTCTCTCTCTCTCTCTTTCTCTTTCTGTTGTATTCGTCGTAGTCAAGAGTGCTTTGCGTCCTCTGTTCCTGACCAGTCCCGAGAACAAGCTGGGAATAAATCTCGATTGAATTATCCCCTGAGAGAAGGAGGGAGAGAGGGGGGAATCCCCCGACTTTAAACGAGTCGCTTGTCCCGAGCCGGAAATCAGAATAACGCACGTGACGAGAGGAAACATGGTATATATCTTCCTTTTCGTTTCCCTTTTACGTACATAGATAGTATTCGTTTATGGCGATCTATATATATATTTATTCGTCTTTCTTCCTTTTATTATTATTTTTTCGTTTTTCTTTTTTGTCCTTTTTTTTTGTTTCAATCAAAATAAATCAGCCCCTATAATTAAACTGGCCTTTCGTCGGTTGTCACGCACGCGTAATAATGAGATTCTAAAACGGTAGTGTCCTTCTCTAGATTGAATTAGAAAATTAATTGAAATGGCGTGTGTTAGAGGAGAAGAAGTTGTCGTATATGCAACTTACCAGCCGTAGTTGATTTTAATCAAGCTGGGAAGGAGGAAGGGGTTGGGATGGATGTCGAGAGGGGTGTGTTGGGGATATGAAAGGGTAAGAAAACCCTCTTGAAGAAAATTACGTTTGACCTTAGCATGTGTTGTTGTTGGTGATCTAGGACGGGTTGGCAATACAAATTCGCGTGTGGAAATAACGCGTACGTGTCGTGTCGTGCCGTAGCATGGCGTGCAGTGCAGTGCAGTGCAGTGCAGTGCAGTGCAGGGCAGGGCAGTGCAGTGCAGCATTGCAGTGCCGATCCTTTTGCTGTAGCTTAGCACTTGTCAGCGACAGCTGCCGTGTACTTAATGTATACCGACATGAGTGCTACTAGGGCATGGTCAACTCGACGACATCCAAAAGAAAATAAGCTGAGCGTAGATACGAGCAAGAGTAGGATGGTAAGATCGGAAGGGTAAGAGGAGGAGGAGGAGGAGGAGGAGGAAGAGAAGAAGTGAGAAACGCGGAACACTCTGTGAGCACACAAATGGTGTATTCATGTGCGAAGCATTTGTCCCTTCCTGGATTATCGTAGGTGATCGAGAGGGAAGGCATCTGGTCGAACACGATCCTCCAGACTCAAGAATAGAAAAACCATCCTCTATCTCCTGTCATAACGATTATCTTCCCCCTTTCCTTTAACCCCTTAACCACCACCCACGTACAAGCAGATCTGTTTTTCAAAGCAAGCGTTAAGTCATCATCGTTCTTGTCTTGTCTATTCAGATGCGAACCATATGATCGAGAATTTTTTTAAATGCTACGCATTATATTGAATTTGATTTAAATGAGATATCGGAAATAATTCAAATAACACGAACGGTTGTTTGTTATATCGTTTTATCCATAGGTAAGTAAAATATATTTTTCGTTGCTATCGATAAATCACGTTTCGTGTTTTTATTATTCAAATGAGAATTATGATAGACAAACTCGTTCTCAGATGTTTTTCATATTTTAAAATAATACGAAAGTAATTTAATTAAGATATTAGAAATGAGAGATCGTTGAAAATTTCTTAAGTTTTAAACTAAAGTACTTTGTATCGAGAGATAGAGAAAAGCCCTTGGAGCGTTTACTTTTGTTCAAAAAGCCTGGAGCCTTGTATAGCCGGCTTCCAAACGTACAGTACCACTCGGAGAAAATGTACTAGGGTCTCTCCTTTCTCTCTCTCTCTCTCTCCCTCTATCTCTTTTTCTTTCACTCAGCTAAAGCGTACTCGTCGAGAAATACTGGGAATAACGAGGAAAGTTGCGTGAAACAAGCGAATGATTTCGATCGTCCTTTTCATTCCGCCCGAGCGTATTACTCCTACTGAAATTCTCTATTTCCAAGTAGTATATCCCCGCAGTTAACAAAATGATCACGCTTATATTGTCAGTATATAAAAATCAGAATTTGAAAGCGTGCGAAAAAGAAAGTGGGTGGGAAACGAGGAAGGAATAGAATTTTCTTGTCGCCTCGTTTGCCATCTCCATCGGGTATAACAAATTTTAACACGAGAGATAAAGATAGATAGATAGATAGAAAGAGAGAGAGAGAGAGAGAGAGAGAGAGAGAGAGAGAGAGAGAGAAAGAGAGAGAGAGAAAAGAAAAAAAGAACGATAGAAGAGTATAAAGTTGAAATGGAACGGGGGTGTAGAAGGACGAGGAGTCTAGACAAGACCGAAATATACACGTTTGATGCGAGATACAATAAAACTCGAGTTTCTCTTTCTCTCTCTCTCTCTCTCTCTCTCTCTCTCTCTCTCTCTCTCTGTTTCTCTGGTTTAAACATACTTATGAGAGAGAAAGATAGAAACAAAGGCTCGGTCAAACCTCGTGGATATCTCATGCACGGATTGGAACGAGATCAACGCGACGTTTTGGCAAAGTTCCGAGACCGGCTGACTCCATGCCACTTTTCGCGTGCGAGAGAACCTTTTTGTTTACAAAATAGACATTGCCGAATAGAGAAAGCACGCGAACGAGCGAAACTACGACTACTACTACTACTAGTGGCGGCGTTGTGTGTTACTTCCGTGTGATTAAGCCTCTTTTGCTCCGCTTTTGCGATCTTCCATAGCTGGCTGACTCCTGCGATCACGATGATGCGATCTCATCTCTACGTCTACGTGCTGCTCGTTTTTAAACGATTTTCACTGCTACGAGAGATAAGAGGTACTTTGATATTCGTTTCGTCGTTGATTCTTTCTTTTTTTTTTTTTTTTACTTTCTTTTTCTCTTCTACAACCACGTGTCGTACATACGTAAAATCCATTTGAGCAATTGTAAATGAAAGACAAAAATCCCTGTGGACAAGCTAATTTCATTCGTTCGGCAACGATATTTCCATTCGGATACGTTCAGTTTTTCCAAACCTAATCATTGACGATAATTCTTTTCTTTTTCTTTCTTTTTTTTTTTTTTTTTTTTTTTTTTTTCCCCAACAACACTCTCACGTATAGAACGTAAGTTCTAATTAACGCTCGACTCGAGATATAAACGCACGGATAAATACACTCCAATGTAAAAGCTCGTTATTTCCGAGTGTCCCCCTTCCCCCATAACCATTTAAATCTTGGTCCTTTAATGCAATTTATATAAATACAAGTAAATAAAAGAAAAAGAAAGGGAACCCCGTCACGTGTAATAAACGCATTCGAGTTATCGCCAGTTATCTTTTTCCAACGTATAATTACCGCATCGCGTGAATACGTTTTAACTTAACGAAACATCATTTGGTACGAGAAAACCATTAACACTTTTGATTCGCTCCATTTCATTCCCGATCGGTTTTATCATTGATTTCATCATCGATTTCTATATACCTAATTTTTTTTAGCAAGAAGAAGAAGAAGGTTCCCTCCTCCTCGTCTTCTTCCTCGTCGATCATTTATCTTTAGGAAGTGGTGGTGGTAGGATGAGGGGAATAGGTAAGATCAAACTCACATAGTTTCCCTTTAAAAGTTAATTCGAGCGCATACATATTACATGTTCGTTCTCTCTTTCTCCCTCATACTCTGAGCTCGGGCGACAGCAGCAAGAACAGTTGGCCATCATTAATCACGCGTTCAACAAAGTCTCCAAGCTTTTTTTATCCACCAATGCAAGCTTTTTATAGCATCAACGAGAAAGAAAGAGAGAGAGTGAGAGAGAGAGAGAGAGAGAGAGAGAGAGAGAGAGAGAGAGAGAGAGTGTGTGAGTAAGCGAGTGAGAAAGTATCCAAGAAAAAAAGAAAAAAAGCAAAAAGTAATTGAACATTTTGACAAGGATAGTAAGTTTTGAAATCGACGATAATTGAAGTTAAGGTTTTTAACGGAT